AAAGTTACTGAATGCTGTTTAGCACCAATATTCCAGCTTATCCCAGCATCATGTCTGACTGACTGAGTTTAGTTTTACGCCGCTTCTAGCAATATTCCAGCAATATCACGGCGGGGGATACCAGAAATGGGCTTCACACATTGTGCCCAGGTGGGGAATTGAACCCGGGTCTTCGGCGTGACGAGCCAACGCTTTAACCACTAGGCTACCCCACCGACCCCCAGCAGCATGTATGTAACTAAGTATGAACTAGCCAATCCTGAGGTTGATATTATGAGCAATCTGGGTAAGAAGGATATGAAGATACTCAATCAGTCTAGTCACCTGTTTCATTAATGTCAACCTTCACGACAAACATTGGGAACAATTTTACCATAGAACTCCAATGATGTCCACAGTGACAGACTTCCCAACTGCCTTCACCAGCTTTAGATTATTTTGATAGCAGGGTCTTCTGATGAAATTTAATCATATTTACAAAAGGTTTGAAAGGTAATAATAAAGAAGTTTGACAGTACTAAAAATAATGGATGACACATTATCAAATATCCAAACATGACACTTGCAAACAAATAATGTACTCACCTGGATGAACTTGTGTAGATCCGGATTGTTTTCCCTGCACAAAACAGACAGTCAGTTGTGTATCATCACTTGCATAAACCAACAATGAAACATCGATCTTTGCTATTCCTACTGACTGACTGAGTTTAGTTTTACGCCGCTTTTAGCAATATTCCAGCAACATCACGGCAGGGACACCAGAAATGGGCTTCACACATCGTGCCCATGTGGGGATTCGAACCTGGGTCTTCGGCGTGACGAGCCAACGCTTTAACCATTAGGCTACCCCACCGCCCCCTATTCCTACTGACACTTCAGGGTTCGAAATACGCCATATATTAGGGTGCCATGGCACGGTAAATATTGAAATGGCACGGATAAATCATTTTCTCAGTGCCCTTATGGCATGCCTAATTTTTTAGAGACATAACTCACCTTTAGTCATTTAATCCCCAAAACAAAACACTTACGCAAATGACTGATAGTTTGGGAAGACTGAAAGTTTGGTTATTGAAGAGGAAATTCTATATGTTAGATATATTGAACTTACATATTGATAACCTGTCACAGAATTCTTAGCTATTAAAGGTGCTGGGAAAGCAGAACAAATGAAGCTTAAGAAAGCCATCTCAAACAGAAGACATATCAGTGATAACAGAAAACTGGTTACATTTGTTGTTTACTAACAATAAATTTCAAAAGATCATCATCATTGCTACAGTAATTTATTCTAAAAACATGCTGGCACACTTGATTTCTGAAAGGCTCATTTAAAATATTTGCCTGGTGCCCTAAGGCACACTTAGAAAAAAAAGTATTTCTATCCCTGCACTTCCTACTACAGGGGTGGTGGGGTAGCCTAGTGGTAAAGCGGTCGCTCGTCACGCCGAAGACCTGGGTTCGATTCCCCACATGGGTAGAATATGTGAATCCTATTTCTGGTGTCCTCCGCCATTATATTCCTGGAATACTGCTAAAGACGGTGCAAACCTAAACTCACTCAATTCTTACTACCACACTTTACTTAACACAAACAGAAGTGTTCAGTACGTCAACACAATGAGAATGGATCAGAAATATATTCAATCCCAGGAAAAAAAAGATAGCTGCAAGCATCACAAAAATCAATGCAAATGTAGCATGTTTATCAGTTAAAATTGTTGATGACATGTTGACAATTACTCATTTCCATTTCACGCCAACAAATTAATAGGTGCAGGCCTCGGCTTCAGATCATGAACAGTGCTGAGAGTCAAAGACGATTTTGTCAAGGGAGATAATTCTATGGCTTGCCAATTTCTTTATTACAGTGAATGTGATGTTTTGGAGTAGATATTCAATTGCTCAAAAAACATACCGAACCATCGCATTCATTGAACAAAGAAGCTGTATATTACACAGAATTGTCTCCTTTCTTCATCATTCAAACTTCTACATGTCACTTAAAGAGGGCAAACATTTTGTCAGTGATACACTGACACGAATCTGGTCACAGAAAATCCTTCAAACACATTGCTATGATTGGGCCTCTGTGACTCTCTTTAACACAGAGTCATATATGACATATGTATCCATATGACACTAGTTTTTCTGCGATCAGGATTACAGCATCGAGAAGAGGGGAGGTGACGTCAATCCAGTAACTAAGAATTAAAGCCAAACAGTTGTATATTTACTTTGATGTGGAAAAGATCTGTTGACATCTCTTGACTCTCATCGCATAGGAAGACTGAAAGAAGGAGAAATCATTTTTAGTCATACAGGTTACTTTAATTTTTACACACTGTTTTTAAACACATAGCAAATGAGGTTCATCAAGAACTTGTCTTCCAGTTGTAAATATGGCAAGTTTGTAGCAGGAATAAGATTGATCACTGCCACATACAAGCAGATTTCCAGATTCACAAAGGTAGAGTAGAAAATCAGCAAACACCCTCTTGTTGGTAACAAACAGAATATGGCACCCAGTTGGGGTCATTAAGGTTACGGTTGGAAATAGGAGAAGCATCATTTACGGACACGTTCTAGCAAAACTAGTGTAGGGAATTGGTTCAAATCACACAACTGATGATTGGTTCATTACCTACGAGCAATCATCGAAAACAATTGGTCAGCGTAGGTCATTTTTCAGATTTTATTATTCAGGGTGTTTTTGCAGGTAAGGATAACATGGTTCTCTGTTGTTGTTTTAGGTTTTTAGTTAGAAACTTGCAAACGCCGTGGTGCGAATGTCAACAAAGCCCCACCCACTAAAGTGGCTATTAGTGAGCACCGTGGGGGGAATGTAAATACCGCTCACATTACGACAAAGAACTCCTGAGAGAATGCGAGAAGGGGTACATGTAGTTAGCTCACAGTAGCAGATATGTCAATAATACACAATTATTGTACAGCAGCGTCAAAAAACAAACCAACAAACCAAGACTCACTTTCGGTCAGGGTGGCAGGACACTGTCCACTGGAAGAACAGAACGACCAAAGCTCGCGACGACGCATTGGGAATGTGTATCGACCTGATAGTGCCGTATAAAGCGTGCTTGGCGGCTCCAAATGGCGGCAGAGCAGATCTCTTCAATGGGAGTGCCGATGCAAAAGCAGTCGCTGCTACTGCCCTGACCGAGTGAGCCTTCAACCCCTCAAGGGGAGGCTTGCCCTTAGCCTGATAAGCGGCACAAATACCGAAACTAGCCAGCCAGACAAAGTCTGCTTGCTCGCTGGCACACCAGCCTTCCGCCACCGTAACAACAGAACAGCTGGGTACCCGTCACAGATTCCCTGCGTCCGTTTGATATAGACTTTGAAGCGTCTTCACGGACATCCAGCGGGTGAGTGCTCAGTAGGAGTGGTCCCGATGTGGAAGGCTGGGTAAGAGTAGGAAGTTCGATAGGAGCTGTCACATGGAAGCGTGATCGAGCGCCGTTCGGTAAAGTATCTGGGAGGCCGAATACTGACACGATCCGTGTGAAACACAGTCAGCCGGTCGGACGACATAGCATGTAATCGCCCGGCCCTACGTCCAGATGTTACCGCCACCAGAAAACAGCTTTCCAAGTTAACAACTGAATGGAAATAGCCAATAGGTGTGAGAAAGTTGGACGGACAGCCAATCTAGCACAATTGACAAATCCCAAGGTGGACTGATTCGCCTGGCGCGAGGTGAATCCGTTCCGGCGCCAGCAAGAAAGCGCTGTACGAGAGGGTTCTGCCCCAGAAGAGCACCATCGACAGGGTGTGAAAAGTGGAAATAGCGTGGAGTAGCTAATGCAATGGTGAAGCGCTGAGGCCTTCTTCCAAGCGAGCTTGTAAAAACTCCAATACTTGCGGACTAAATCCGCAGAAAAGGGATCTGCAATGCCCCTATCTGAACACCGGCGCATAGCGGGACCACCTATCCTCGTGCTGAGCGTTTGTGAATCCGCCTCGGTAGAATTGTGTCTGCAACTGCTGCAGGAATTCCGTGCCTCGAGGCTAGACCTGACAGAGGCCAAGCCACCCACTGAATCCGTGGATTTGGGTGGAAGCTCGTTTCTGAGTGAGAATGTCCGTCAGAAAGGTAATAGAACAGGAGGCTGAGCCAGAAACCTGAGAATTACGGAAACCAGCTCTGTGGCCAAAGCGGTGCCAGTAGCACAAGTAGCTGAGCTGGCTGGGTGGACAGCTGTGAAAGGACCACGGGGAATGAGTGGTAGCGGCGGGGACGCATGAGAGCACTTTGCCCGTCCAATCCAGCAGGAAGGCGTCGGCAGCCAACGCCCCTGGGTCCGGTATCCGAGAGCAGAACACGGTGTCTGATGCGCCCGCCGGACGCCAAACAGATCCACCTGGAGCGACCCGTATAACTGGGCAGATTACTCTGAAAAATCTGCCTGTCGAGGCATCCACTGCGTGCGGGGCCAGGATCCGGGCGAGCGCATGTGCTCCCGGAGATAAACAGGGAAGTACCTGACAGTCGCACTGATCGCACCAGAGGAAAAGTCCCCGCCTCCCGGGCGCTGGGGACACCGTGCCTCCCCTGCTTCAGGATATACGACATGGCGCGTCTGGTTGTCCAACTGAAGGCGGACTACCTGGCCATACAGGACATGCTCTCTGAAGCGCCGAATACCAACCGCACAGCTCTCAGTTCCAACACGTTGATGTGAAGGTGGGCTCGACTTCCGGACCAGAGTCCGGCGCCGACAGACTGCCAGAACACCCCCAGCCGTGAGGGGCGCGCTCGGTCTGAACTGTGAGAGCTGGCGCCGATTTCCAAAGGGGATCCCCTGGTGAGATTCCCGACATTTGTCCACCACTGAAGGTGAGGTGTCAACCACTTTCGGGGACTGTGAGACTGCGCTCCAGATCCTCCCGGTGAGTCCACAGCCGAGCCAAAGCTGCATGTATAGGACGCATCCTCAACCGCGTGCCCGCCACACTACTGGGAGATCGATGCGCCTTCATATGGCTTGGTAGACGGAGCCAAGTCCGGTGCTGGTGCCTGGGGCTGGAGAGGAACGAAGATACCATCTCCGAACTCTGGTGATCCGTTCGGGCGACAAGGAACGAGATCCTTGTTCGTTTTGAATCGGCGCTCCAAGAAAAACCAAGTCCTGGGTGGGTACCAGGTCGGATTTCTTGAGGTTGATTATCCACCCCAGTCGAGTTAGTATGTCTATCACTGTGTGAGTAGCATCTGGACTGCCGCTGGCTGTGTTAGTGCTCGAGCAACCAGTGTCGCCGAGGTAAGGGTAACAACGCCTTCCTTCTTGCGCGAGCAGCCAGGGTAGCGGAGGACTAACATGAGCTTGGTGAACACCCTTGGGGCAGTCGATATGCCGAAGGGGAGCACCCTGAATTGGTAATACATCCCGTCGAAGAGAACTGAAGGTACTGCTTGAACGAGGGATGCATGGGCACATGCAGATATCGCATCCTTTAGGTCGATTGGCGTGAGCCAATCGCAGGGCTGAACAGATGAGATCACCGAAGCCCAGTGTCTCAATCTCGAAGCGATGGTACTTCTTAGCATGCGATTCAACCCTTGAGGTTGAGAATGGGGACGGAACCCGCCGTCTTTCTTCGACGAGGAAGTACGTGGAGTAAAATCCCCGCCTGTTCCTCTCCCGGTGGAATGCGCCGATTGCGGACTTGTCCAGCAGAGCCTGAACTTCGTCGCGCTAATATGTGCCCTTGCCTGACATGACGGCATCGGAGTGCGGCATATGCCGGTGAAGTCGGGCGGACCTCGCCCCTGGCCGGTAAATGGCCGATGCTGACCGTGGCCAGCACCCAAGCATTGTTGGTAGCCTTCTCCCATTCCGGCAGGAATAGAGAGAGGCGACCTCCCACTGGGATATGGGGTAGGAGCGGCGTCGTTGTCCCGAGCAGCGGAGCTGACTGGGTGTGACACGGCTTGAGCGGCAGCCTGATGGGTTAACGGAGGTCGGGCAGACCTCCAGCGCCGCGAGCTGGGAGCTAGTCGAGGACTGCTCCTTGCCCCTACCCTTGAGCGGACCTGCTCCTCCGCCTACCTACCAGCGGTCGAAGCCAGCCGGCAGACTCGGGTGTAGGCTGCACCCGGCGGAGGAAGGTGGAATGGGAGTGCGCGGTGAGACACCGCCGGGTGCTCCAACAAGGCCTTAGAGTCCTTGAAGGAGGTCACTGCAGCTGCAGCCTCCCCGAATGACCTGCTGTGCCCCTGGAAGAGGGTCGGCTCCCCAGGCGGAAAGGGAGGGCCAGCAAGGTCTGCTCGCGCCGCTGCCGAGTACCGAGGCGTCGACAGCCACAGCCTGCGCATCCCCATGACTCGCGCGCACATCACCGCCGACGCAGCAGACCGCAAAAGAGTCGCTGGCGAGGTGGGCCTGCACTTCCGAGAGCTGGACGGAGCAGCACGACATCGCGGCGTAAGCGTCGCCAGCATGCCCTCCGCCTCAGGGCCGACCTCTGAATCAAGGAGGTAGGCCTCATGGACCACCACACCCTGACCTGCTGTATCGCGTTCCAGTAGACCTCCTCGTGGGTCCGGTGCACGCCGTGCGCGAGGAGCCGCCCGAGGGCAAGCGGTGGAGTGAGGGCCCTTGCCGAGCAGCCGAGCTGCTCGGAGGAAGCGAGCCTCCCCAGAGGCGATGGAAGTGAACACGCACTCGCCAACGCGATGGGAACAACGAACAGAGGAGTCCTCCCCAAGTTGGTACCTCCGTACTAAATCCGGCAAGTCGAACCGAACACGGGTACCAGACAAGAGGGGCTCGACCACGTCCTGAACCAACGAAGGCAGAATGCGGAGCTGCGTCTCGCCTGGCAAGCGGAACTCAGCCGAGTCCGAGCGGCCAACAGGCACCGCGGCTTGGGGTAGGCCCTCGGCAATTCTTTGCCGGACCTCCCGCAGAGCCGAAGCAAAACGGAAACCACCGTCATGCTCCTCTACCTCCCCAAGCTCCATCGACTCGGCGCCCGAGCCCGAAGTCAGAGGCTGGGCCCTCCTCCGAAGAGGACTCCTAACCCCGACCGGTGGGCTGGGCCTGGCGTAAGGCACAGAGAGGGAAGAGCAGACAGAGCGCTCCCGCCGGCGCCTGGAAGCGCGTGCACGGACCCCGGTCCCGAGACGCTGGGGGCAGACCAGGCAGAACTGGTGCCTCCGGCTCTCATGGGGCGGAGTGCGCAGGGACCGGAACACCAGGAATACTCAACCGTCCCTGCGCCAACTCGAGAGAGGGACTGGGAGCACCTCCCTCCCGGGGCAGCAGCGTCCGGGACCGAATCCAGAGGCAGCGGGTCTACAGAGCGCCTCAAGGCTGAGGGATCGAAGCCGAGCCCGGCGATCCCACCCTGACACTCCGCCCCGTCCGAAGTGGCGAGAACTCCTGCCGGAGACCTCCAACAGACTCCTGAACGAGGGACTTCACAGAGTCCATATGCTGCTGAAACAATTTGTCCATTAGTGTCATATCAAAACCACCAGTACTAGTGGGAGAGGGGTTGGGCTTCGGGATTTTTTCCCTTACATGACTGTCTCTTAGTCTGAGACGGGGACCCGCGTCAGTTCCCCACCGCCCTCACGCATCTCTTTGTAAAATAGCGTGTCCGTCCGCCCCGCTTTTGGGCCCGGGAAAACCCAAGACATATCGGACACGTGTCAGCGTCATGGCCAGTCTTTTTCTAGACAGGCGACGACTGGTCATGCCTGTCGGCCCGTGGAATGTTCTGTCCACAGACCGAACAGGATGAAAATGCCTGAAAAGCAAACACGCAAGCATGTAGCTAACGGGACCAGCAGCATATACACACGTGAAAACATTGAAAAATACGTGAAGGCTACCACGAAAGTAATAGTTGGTTCAATGCGCAATAATATCGACCACATGGCGCTAAACTTCCCGCCATGGCAGAGCAACACGATCGTAAACCACGGGAAAGTTCGCGTGAATATAATGAATACAAAGTCACAATTATGAAACAACCAACTGTAAAGCTTTACTGTTCCTTTTCATAGACAAATAAAGACCATACATACAGGTGGTGTCTCAGACATAGTCGTTTTTCTTTCTCAGAAAGCTCAGCTCTATCGACACTGTATGCGGCTCATGCGTCTGTTCATGGCAGTGACAGCAGAAGGAATGATGATACGGGTCTAGGAGCTACTCCAGTTGGATCAGCATGCTTAGCGGGGAGTAACTCCGTGAGGTAGGGGCCGTATAGTAAATAAAAGAGTTTATTTATTGTACAATCTTTTATTCAAAAACATTGCAAATTGCATTTTCAAATGTCAAATGCAATGTAAAATGATGCAACTTGCCGATCTAAAGTGATGATTAATATATCATGAACATAAACTTCCAAATTTTCAAAGAAATATTCAGTGATGAATTTTCAGTAGGTGAACTGAGTTTTCTAGGAATCAAACACGTTTTCAGGCCCTGACAATTTCTAAGGTATGTTCCATCGTCAAGTGTTTCGAACATTAAAACAGTAGCTCCAAAATTGTTTATGTTTGATTATGAGAAAATGTGATTGATTGTATGGTCGTTTGGTCACTGCGACCAATCTTCAATTGTTTCAATTAATTGGACCACCACTAAGCAAAACCATATGAAGTCTCTTCTATTGAGATTAAGGTGCAACTCATTTGGGTGTTGAGAGTGGCTACAGTGTCCACAACAGGCTGCAGAACAGCATGTTGACAAGATCTGCATCACACACATTATGGCCAAAGCTGGAGCGCTTTCAATGACCTGATCATTAGCAGGATCCCAGGCAAAAGAACTGGAGGATGATTCTCTCCTGTGAGGAGATGTACAATTAGAACACAAGAATATTGGACAACCAAAAATGTGATAAACCCAAGCTGAAATAAATACAGTTGTTCAGGTTGTAAAAGTCAAATCCTACAAAGGAATGGAATGTGTAGACCCAAATCTGTCGATGTGTCATGCTACTGTGGATTGGCAATGTTTACCACCTAACCTAACTTTAACAAGAAGGAGTTCACCCACCTTTTTTATCAACATCCACATGGCCTGCTGTGGGTGACACCCACCAATCAGGTCCTGGGAGAAAACACATAGTGGCCATCAACATATACACATGGCCTGCTGAGTTTGGGGTACAGCATTCCAGCAACACTGGCAGAAATCAGGTCCTGTACCCATGTGGAGAAAACATGCATAGTGGTATTTATAAGACAATACAATATACACACTTTTTGTAACAAATGAGATATGATATCCTTGAACCAATCATTTCTAAAATATATTGTCTCTGAAGATAACATCAAAGAATGTAAGGTACAGATAATTCTTATTACTCTCACTAACTTTCCGAATACTTAAAGATCTATTTTTGTAGCCTTTTGAACATACTTTTCTGGGGTGTGGGATGTGGGATGTGGGGTGTGGGTGTGGGTGTGGGTGTGGGGTGTGGGGTGTGGGGTGTGGATGTGGGATGTGGGGTGTGGGTGTGGGGTGTGGTGTGGGATGTGGGGTGTTGGGTGTTGGGTGTGGGTGTGGGTGTGGGGGTGGGTGTGGGTGTGGGTGTGTGGGTGTGGGGTGTGGGTGTGGGTGTGGGGTGTGGGGTGTGGGTGTGGGGGTGTGGGTGTGGGTGTGTATTCTGTTGTGTAGTTTCAACATCTTTATATTTAAAGCCTTGTTCAGGGAAATAGAGTAACAGCAAACAGTTGTTATATATCTAGTTGCTGGCCTGTGGAAGCAGCTGACAAAACAGGAGTCCCTACAGTCACACACCTGTAACTGTTGAAACACATCAGGGTGGGCGTGGCAGATACGAGATTAGCTGGGGGAAGGCTGTGAAGAACTGGTACGGCTGCAGCTGACGACCCAGTGAAGAGATAATCTGTGACAGTGGAACGTACTTTTTAGCATCATATCAGAGTAGAATCACACCTGTTTAGGATACCTTCAGTGTGGAACCATACCTGTTGGCAAACTTACTGGCATACTTGCTCAGCATCACAGCAATGCATGGAAATAGTTTCCAATATCAACCATTCTTCCTTTAAAAGAACTTACAGCCATGCCAGGGTGAGGAAATCACTCTAGCTCTTTCTTCAGTGACATCTTGATAATAGGACAATGTTAAACATTTTTTACATTACATGAATTGGGACACAATGACATGTATTAACTAAGTCAGCAGGCCAGACAACCTGACCGTGTTAGTCACCTCTTGTTGCTGAAGACCAATTCCTATCTGGACTTAAAGGGATCTGTACTAATATAAACAATGTAGATTTATAATGCACACTGATGCAAACCTTGTTGATTCTGCTGAGAATGGTTCGCTGTGCCTGCAGTTTCTGTGAGTTCTTCCCACGTTCCTTCTTCTCAGACTCGACGACTGTGGTGCCGTAGTCTAGCCAGAGACTGAGGAGGCGTGGCATGGACTGGTAGATGTATTGGTTGCCGTACTGCAGCGACTGGCCGAAGAACTTCACCACGTAGATGATGAACTCTCTGTGATGGTACACAAATAAAGTAGAAGAGCGTTAGCACACTTTCAAGTAAATGTTTATTAAGGTTTGACATTTCATGTTAAAACACTGAACTAAAGACAAGTTCTCATGTTATTTTTGACAATTCCAAAATGCAAGAAATAATAAATGAAGCAGTAGTTCAGTTACCATAGATTGGTCAGCTGTCAGTATAATCATGGAGCTGGTCATGAAATTTTACCTTAGATTGCAGGAGCCACTGAAGAGAGTTATCTACGCACGTTACTCAAGTCATATATTTTGGTTGCTAAGGCCTCTGAAGCCACAGTGACAAGAGTTATCTACCCTCTCAAGCCACAAACACCTGGCACTGAAGACCTTAGAGCTACATCTGATGAACATGACCTCAGCCTACAGTGGCAGGAGTGAGTGAGTGAGTTAAGTTTTACAACGCACTCAGCAATATTCCAGCTATATGGCGGCGGTCTGTAAATAATCGAGTCTGGTCCAGACAATCCAGTGATCAATAGCATGAGCATCGATCTGCGTAATTGGGAACCGATGACATGTGTCAACCAAGTCAGTGAGCCTGACTCATCTAACCCGTTAGTCATCTCTTACGACAAGCATGGGTTACTGAAGGCTCATTCTAACCCGGACCTTCACGGGTCAACAGTGGCAGGAATCCATAATGGTTAGAAGTGTCTAAAGTGACAGTTCAAATCGTGTTCAAATATTTAATTTAACAGAACTACCACTCAATACGATATGGATAAATTGTTTCATAAACTGTATGCATCAAGATATGGTTGTGGGTGACAATGACTGCATAATTTCTCTACTCCATTACATAGGTAACTCCAACAACCTGATCGGACCAGAGTGGCTCGTGTGAATGTGGAGCGAGATACCTACCCCTGTTTCTCTGGCTTCTCCTTGTCATCAATGAGAGCCATCATGATCTTGTCATAATACTTGGCCAGGTAGAAGTGGCCATCCTCCCACCTGGGGTAGATGTCGATCACATCCTTGTACTGCTTCATGATGGCATTGCTCTCCAGACTGGAGGTGTCCTCGCTGTAACGCCCATACAGCAACAAGCCCTGGCAATGTACACACAGTCAGTGAACATGTCAGCTTGGCATTGGAGAGTACTATAGGCTGATCGTTTGCATGATTGTTGTTTTATATAAGTCAGGTATGTACTGTGGTTTGACTGACTGACTGACTGACTGAGTTTAGTTTTACGCCGATTTTAGCAATATTCCAGCAACATCACGGCGGGGGACACCAGAAATGGCTTCACACATTGTGCCCATGAGGGGATTCGAACCCGGGTCTTTGGCGTGACGAGCCAACGCTTTAACCATTAGGCTACCCCACCGCCCCTGCTGTGGTTTGAAAGTAATTTAGCTTGTATCAGTGAATTGACTTATGAGAATTTCCCTTTGGTAGAATGACAGACTGACTGACTGAGTTTAGTTTTACGCCGCAGCAATATTCCAGCAATAATGGGGACACCAGAAATGGGACATTTATGGGGAAGAATCTTCGAATAGCCGCTTTAACCACTAGGTACCCTAATCCCTTGGTAGAATGAATAAAATAACCTGGCATAGAGTGAGTGAGTAAATGAGTGAGTTTAGTTTTATGCCACTTTTAGCAATATTCCAGCAACATCACTGCAGGGGACAACAGAAATGGGCTTCAAACATTGTACCCATGTGGGAATCGAACCTGGGTCTTTGGCGCGACGAGCGAACGCTTCAACCACAAGGCTACCCCATTGCCTTGACTTGTATAAAGACTAACAGTTTGACTGATCAGTCAATTGTAACTAGAGCAAGTTAGTGATATTTGCTAAGAGACAATAGGATCCACATATACTAAGGAATGTTGCCCCAAACCCTTGGCACCTTTTTTCAAAAGGCATCCACTACCTCACTACCTCAATCTGTGGACACTTACTTGAGCATATGTCTTCTTCTTCTGCTTGCCTTCATCTGAGTTGTCCATCTTCAGCTGGGACATGTTGTTGAAGTTGACAGAAATACCTTTCTCCAAACACGTAAGAGCCTCATCATTGTTGCCCTGACAACACAAACACAGCACACTGAGAAACTGAAAATATATAGTCATTTCTGACTTGAAACATCTTTCTGATTAGATCCTGGCCATCTCATACCATCCCCTTTTAGTCGACGTAATTCTCACCTAGGAATACTGCAATGTATTTAGTCACTAAAGAAGATCTGCCATTCAGGTTGGAACAATACTTGACTGACTAACTGACTGACTGAGTTTGGTTTTACGCCGCTTTTAGCAATATTCCAGCAATATCACGGCGGGGGACACCAGAAATGGGCTTCACTCATTGTACCCATGTGGGGATTCGAACCCGGGTCTTCGGCGTGACTAGCCAACGCTTTAACCACTAGACTACTCCACCGCCCCGAACAATACTTGAACATATATCAGACCACAATAGAGTGAGTGAGTGAGTGAGTATAGTTTTACGCCGCACTCAGCAATATAGACCACAATACAAAGTCTTTGTTCCTTACCCTACATATCAATCTTTGCGTTTGGTCTGACTAAATAGAGAAACGTATGCAAAATCAAACAACTGGTATGGTGCCCAAAACAGATCATTCAATTAATAAATCGTTTCAATCAGCAATTTTCCAGCTATAACTCAGCATCCTGGAACTAATGTGGCCAGGGATTACCATTGTTAAACAGTATCACGGATCATTCTCCATGGAACATACAAGGTACTGGGGCCTTGACAGCAGGGATTACCATTGTTAAACAGTATCAGCAACGGATCATTCTCCATGGTCTTGGATGACACGCACAAGGTACTGGGGGCCTATACAGCATGGAATCCAAACCTGAGAGTGAGCAGTAGTAATGAGTAGAAACAGGGATCTACCTTTTCCCAGAGCCATTTTGCCTTCTCCAGGAAGAACTCGGGCAGACTGAAGGTGCTGGCTTGCAGGAGACAGGTGTATGCCGTCTGGAGATACGCTGATCTGAAAGAACATAAAGAACATATATAATAAAATACGTCAATAATTCTCCAGAGCACTGTAACTATGTTTCACTTTACAAAGTTTGCTTGCTGTGGGTGGAATTGTCTTGCATAATACTGAAGGGTAGCCATGAAGGTTAAAGAGCTTGCTGATTCTGGAAACGATCTGGGTTTGATTCCCTGCATGTGTGGACCTATGGTGACTTTCCTGTGATAGATTTAAAAGACTGCTGAAAGTAGCATTTCCAACTTATTCCCACATGTACTGAGAAGACAATGTTTATACAATAGCTGGTGTGCCATCATTGGTGGAAACAAGCATGTGAAGTTATTTTTCTTAGAGATGACGTTTACAGTGCAAAAGGTACATTTCAGTGAAGAGCGTTCATTTTTCCTGGCGTTATGACTGCAGTGTGGTGACCTACTGGTGTTATGACAGTGATGTGGTGACCTACTGGTGTTATGACTTTGATGTCGTGACCTACTGGTGTTATGACTGTGATGTGGTGACCTACTGGTGTTATGACTGTGATGTGGTGACCTACTGGTGTTATGACTGTGATGTGGTGACCTACTGGTGTTATGACTGTGATGTGGTGACCTACTGGTGTTATGACTGTGATGTGGTGACCTACTGGGGTTATGACTGTGATGTGGTGACCTACTGGGGTTATGACTTTGAGACTTACTGGTGTTATGATTGTGATGTTGCAACTTACTTCCTGGCCACTTTGGTGCTCCAGAGCCACGACTTGCCCACCATGGTGCTGAGGTCATGGTCCGACTGACACAGGGTCAACAGGGTCCGTCTCAAGGTCAGGATAGGGTCTTGGATTCGGAAAGATGACTGAAGTCATGAAATATGATTCAAATACACACATATTTAACACAAAAAATATCTGTAAAACAAATCTTAAGAATAACTCATGGCAAGACATGGAGTTCCTACCCTCTACATCCTGTACAACTGAATTATCTGCATGCCACAATCAGGGATTGGCAACAGGAAAATCCATTTTCAGCTGAAAAGTTAATATTGTGTCATCGAGTTGAGGGTTTCTTAATGGATTTAGACGATTCACAATTGAACAATTTCAAGTAAAATCCGGATCAGCGGAAATTGCCATCCCTGTAGTTTGTAGTTTGAAATCACTAAAGTGGCCTTCTCACGGCAAACTTAAGTTGGACAACACATGTTGTCAAAACTCGAGTTTGAGAGTGTGAACATTCAACAACTCGCCACCAACACCAATTTCAGATCGGTCTCTATTCTCACCAACTTTTCCATCAAACTTTCGGTGTTGTTTGACATGTGAAGTCTTGTCAAACTCATGTTGTTCAGAAACAACTAATCGCAGTCAATGAAATTGTCTTGTGATCGCACCGATAGAGAGATGGCGCTCAAATGACACGAAAGTTTGACAACATGTGTTGTCAATCTTTAGTTTGCCGTGTGAAGGCTGCTTAAAACATCAACAGTATCAATAAGGCTGTGTACCATGAGAGTCAATTCAATGATAGAATATATTTTCTGCTAAGTTGCAGATGGTCTGAAAGCGTCCAGTAGTGATCCAGTATTTAGTCCTGCCCCTACCTGACACATCTGTATGCGGTCCTGCCCCTACCTGACACATCTGTATGCAGTCCTGCCCAAACCTGACACTTCTGTATGCGGTCCTGCCCCCACCTGACACATCTGTATGCGGTCATGCCCCTACCTGACACATCTGTATGCAGTCCTGCCCAAACCTGACACATCTGTATGCGGTCCTGCCCCCACCTGACACATCTGTATGCGGTCCTGCCCCTACCTGACACATCTGTATGCGGTCCTGCCCCCACCTGACACATCTGTATGTGGTCCTGCCCCCACCTGACACATCTGTATGTAGTCCTGCCCCCACCTGACACATCTGTATGCAGTCCTGCCCCCACCTGACACTTCTGTATGCAGTCCTGCCCCCACCTGACACTTCTGTATGTAGTCCTGCCCCCACCTGACACATCTGTATGCAGTCCTGCCCCCACCTGACACTTCTGTATGCGGTCCTGCCCCCACCTGTATTCGGTCCTGCCCCTACCTGACACATCTGTATGTGGTCCTGCCCCCACCTGACACATCTGTATGTGGTCCTGCCCCTACCTGACACATCTGTATGCGGTCCTGCCCCTACCTGACACATCTGTATGCGGTCCTGCCCCTACCTGACACATCTGTATGCGGTCCTGCCCCTACCTGACACATCTGTATGCGGTCCTGCCCCCACCTGTATGCGGTCCTGCCCCTACCTGACACATCTGTATGCGGTCCTGCCCCTCCTGACACTTCTGTATGTGGTCCTGCCCCCACCTGTATGCGGTCCTGCCCCTACCTGACACATCTGTATGCGGTCCTGCCCCTCCTGTATGTGGTCCTGCCCCCACCTGTATGCGGTCCTGCCCCTACCTGACACATCTGTATGCGGTCCTGCCCCTCCTGACACTTCTGTATGTGGTCCTGCCCCTACCTGACACATCTGTATGCGGTCCTGCCACTGCTTGATCAGCTCTTCAGGTGCCATCTTGGCAGCAGAGTCTCCTGAGTCCACACAGTGTACAGGGAAGTCCCGCAACACTCTCATCACCTGCTCGATCTCGTTCAACATATGCAGCCTGAAACATAAACAGCCAATGCAGAAGTTCGGCTACAGACACTGAAATTCAAACAACAGATGTAACTGAAGCAAAATATATCAACCAAACCAAAGAACATACAATCCACTGATTCTCATGATTTGACATATTTTGTGGGTGTCTCCAACAATGATACTTTATGCTTACATCCTGAATATTGACTGATGAATGAAGCAACTTGCTTGGGCTTCAGATTGCAAACATTCTCAAAAACACTGAACCAGGCCATGCTTTCTCAAACAAAGTTGTTCAAGATGTTAATAATTATTTTTCAACAAGAACAACCTTCATTTGGAGCTGATTTTGATTTGCTGTATCTGTGCTCATTACTGGTACCATACAATAGTCTGGGAAGGCGAAGTGGGACCCTCGATTCTTTTGCTACATGTATCTGTAACCATGACACCAGTTTCGCTGGCAGTCAGACAGTGAGCCCCGTTGCGTTTAGACACTGATATTAGTCTGATCCCGTAGGTTACCTGCAAATATTCTCATATCCTCGGTGGTATGAACCCATCTCCATGCTGGCAGCAGACAGAGGTCCCATCTGCTCACGTCGAACTATCTCCAGCTGCTTACAGAACTCTTCCTCCTTCTGCAGGGACAAGCAACGTGGTGTCATCCTTATAACTTCATACTACAGTCTGAGATGCTACAGGGGCAATGGTAGACTAGTGCTCAAAGCGTTCAGTTCTGTACATGGTGAAATTGAGTGAAACCCATTTCCGGAGTCCCCTGCCGAGATATTGCTCACTGAGATGCTATATCGATCAGTGAAAAACTGATGCAGTTGAGAACATTACACTATTAATGTTCTTGAGATGCTGTATTTCTCTTTCGGCTTAAGGATTATAAAATGATTCACTGATGTCACCCTAATTCAGTTTTTGAAAAAATCAGGGATAGAAATACTTTTTTTTCTAAGTGTGCCTTTGGGCACCAGGAAAATATTTTAAATGTGCCTTTCAGAAATCAAGTGTGCCCACATGTTTTTAGAATAAATAACTGTAGCAATGATGATGATCTCTTGAAATTTCTTGTTAAAGTACTGTCGGAAATGCTAGAAAAATGCTTTTTAGCCTTAATATCTTTATAAAGGTGATACATTTACTATGTTGTCAATATATCAACTCGTCTATTGTCTACTTAATTTTTATTTCAACCGATTTAACATTCCCATGCATTTAAAGGGCAGTTTACAGGAGAGAATTTGGTACCAAAACAGCAACTTAAGATTTTTTCAGAGTTCAACAACAGAAATCTGAAATAGTCTTTACATTTATGCTAATAATACAGGTGGAATAAAAATATGAATTAACGTTTTTCCTAAACAAATAAATGTTGAATGTTTGTGTTACTTTACTTAATTATCGTTTCTTTATTGAAGAAATATTAATATAAATGTTAAGTCTTGATAAATAAGTTTCCCGTCATGCATGCACATCTTTATCACAGCGTCCACTATGGCCAACGATTTGCAGTCAATTGTTGTAAAGGTTTATAGTTTTTTTCTGCTTAAAAAAGACAGAGGTAAACCTTTCATTAGTTTAGAAAATGTGTATTACAGAACTTGTAGAGCTGTTGGCATGCCTTACCAACAAGTTTACAATATTGTAAACAAATCAGACAAGAGAGGGACCATCTCAAATGCAAAACCGGGACGTAAAACCATCCTTGACAACTTTGACAAGGGAGTGCTTAGACGGGCGGTCTACAAACTTTATGAGAAGAAAATATATATATTCTAAAGAAGCTACACCAGTGACTTCCCGTTAAATCTATGGCCAATGTTCACAACTAGATGAAACTGACCGAATTATATCCATATTTTTTCAATGAAATGTACTGTTGACATGCAAAACATTTATTAAAAGCGTTGCACATTTCTACAATCAATCGATAAGATAACACAAGTGATGGGATTCTTTCCAGTGTACAGTAATTGTATGTTTATTTCAAAACAAATACACATACACAAATGATCCCTTACATAACCGATCATTATACTATCGTACACATATTCAACATTTTGCAGAAAACATATATTGAGATGACCCTTGCCCGGTGTGTGCTCAGGTGTCAATTTCACCTGTCGATACCGTGCATGCTGATGGCGTAACACAGGCAGTTAATGTTTGTATCAAATAACGTCCCACTACCCTTATTTTTCTAAGTTTTTGGTATTTTCATCAGTAAAATCACATTTTAGAGCATGTCTCAAAATTTATTCCCTCTGTCTACATTAGGTAGATGTTTCTTGAAGTGATATTTGTTATTTAAGTAACTGTAATACCTCTGAATTTTAAATAACAGTCAAAAAGCATTTTTCTAGCATTTCCGACAGTACTTTAGTACACAACAAATATAACCTGTTTTCTGTTATCACTGATATGTCTTCTGTTTCAGAAGAACATACACAATTTCCTCTTCAATAACCAAACTATCAGTACTCCCATCATTCTAAATGGAAAAACAACCAGATTTCTTTATATCATCCATCATAATTGAAGGATGATTTCCTGGGCGATAAAGTCAATAAATGTTTTTGCTTGTTTGTCATTTTGTTTTGGGGATTAAATGACTAAAGGTTATGTCTATAAAAAATTAGGTGTGCCGTAAGGGCACCGGGAACATATTTATCCGAGCCATTTCAATATTTACAATGTCATGGCACGCTAATATATGGGGTATATCGAACCCTGAAAATATAATAACAAGGATTTCAAATCAATGTCTTCAACATCCAACAGCAGAAGAACCAGAATCTGTACTTTACTAAGAAAGAGCAATCCCAAATATAACATATGGTACAGCAGCATTGAGGATCAACAAAAGCTATTGAAGGATGAGGACTATTTTTATGGATATTCAACTTCTTTTTTCTGTATAGCGGAAGGTCGCGGGTTCGATCCCAGACCGCGTCATACCAAACACGTTAAAATATGGTTCTTGTTGGTCCCTGCCTGGCGCTCGGCATTAATGGGTACATCAAGGACTGGTCGGTTCGGAGTCAGTATAATGTGTCTGAGTGGGGTATTCATGCTTCACTGCGGCATGGTATCTCAGTGGGCTAGCACTATAAAACAAGCTTAAGTCTGGGCTAGTACAAGCAGCCGCACATACACACACACACACACATGCACGTCGTCATATGAGTGAAATATTCTCAAGCACAAAGTTAACACCAATTTCACCTCACCTCTTTATTCTGTATAGGTGACGTTTCGACATATATTCTAATGTCGTTGTCAAGCAGGTTATACATGAGAAGTAATTTTGGGTGATATATAAACATGAGATGTTTGGACAGTATACGAAGGATGAGGCAGAATTGAGTTGTTTATACAATAGAAGAGGTTGATAACACATAGTATACAGGATTAAGTAGGTTGATGGAAGCCAGTTGATGGAAAGCTATTGCTAGGTAGGGTGGGTCCTACAACCCCTTGAATAAACTGCTTCTCTTCATATAATCGACAAGCACAATCTACCATATTATTGGCAGGGTTCCACGTCAGCCCAGTGGGAATGGGCTTACCTTGTCTTTAGCTGCCAGCAGAACACGGCCCACTCCAACTGCCCAGTTCCGCCGGTGAGTTTCTCCGTGACAGAACATCTCCAGTTTATCCCAGCTGCCCAACTTCCAGGAGGCCTCGATCCTGTAGGCGTTCAGCTGAGCCTTCCATGCTGGTCTGAGATTTACAAAAACAACTGCATGACAGACCTTAAAAATATAAGTGGTAAAAAAATTGAAATCTTCAAAAATGTATCCATCTTACTCTGCTAAAAGTACGGATACTGTTTGCCCTAAAATACTCGACAAATATTGCCACAACCCAGATAGCATTCAGTCTTTGGCCCAACGTTGGCAATGGTTTTGCCAACATTGCAAACGGTGAGCCAATGTCCGAATGCTATCTGGGAACTGCCTGACTGGACTTGTTTAACAAACATTGTGCACATCCAAACATACTCAGATAACCTATTTAAAATAAATACTGTCATATAATATTTGTCCATAAACAACAGACTTCCATATACTCACTTCTCGGCAATGACCCCGGTGGTGTGTAGCAGTGCCTTGTTCAGCTGACCAAGCTCCATGAGACTGGCCAGCAGACCCTGGTGGTGGCTGACTTCATCCGGTTCCTTCTGGATAGCCTGCTCATAACATGCCTGGGCATCCTGCTGCTGGCCTGGAGTGAGTGAGTGAGTGAGTGAGTGAGTGAGTGAGTGAGTGAGTGAGTGAGTGAGTGAGTGAGTGAGTGAGTGAGTGAGTGAGTGAGTGAACGAGTGAGTGAGAGTGAGTGCGTGAACGAGTGAGCGAGAAACAAAACGAGAATATGAGAAAGTGTATGAGTGACAGGTTGAGAAAATAAAAGTTAGAAAAAGAGTGAATCCAAAAAAAATTACAACAGAGAACTAGCGGAAAATTTAGTGGAGGTAGCGGCTAGTTTTGCTTAAATGAGACCAGACTGTTTTGTGCGTTTACACTTTGAGTCAAACTTATTCAGCAAATATAAACATTCAGAAATTATTGAGAATTATAACCCTCACATGCTGCTAATCTTGAGTACGATCACTGGACTTTTAACTTGTCTTCAGCATAACTTAATAGTCTCTGGTTAGTGGACAAGCATGCATTTTGAATCCTGATAAAGGCTGTACTGATAATACAGCAACATAACTGCAGTAAGTTGTGGAGACACAATAAAACCACTGGAATCCCATTTTCAGAGACGTCAAATATTTGTTAACAGGGATCAATTGTGACCCCAAATTGATATAAAGATATAGTGACATAATCAACCAATAGATGAAACAGCAATGCCACATACCCAGACTCTCATGTGTGAGTATCTGCTGCATCAGTGTTGAAGGTGTCTCTCTAATGGCCGCCACACCCAGAACTCCGTCAGGCTCATCCATAGCAACATACAGGCGCTGGAGGAACACAATATTCAGGTGATCATTAGGCTCAATGTTTTCCACAGCTACATTTCCCAATCAACACATCTTCTCATGAATCTCTAAGAAGCCATGACAAACCAACTTGCATCCTTTATCATGTCTACCTCCTGGACACTTCTTCAGCTGCACCTTGGCATATAATTAATGCAGGTTTGACACATTCACCAGTCTGGTCAAAACCACAAACCTCACCAAAGGGATGCAACTCTGCATTTCAAAGTGTGGGCACTAAAAGAACTCCTCTATGCCAAAACCAACCCACCTACATCAACATCAAGCAAGGGGCAGACGTCTTCAAGATTCAGTTAAAATCTAAAATCAATATGCATTTACAAAAATTCAACACAAACTCCAATTGCTTTGTTGCATTGTAAACAAACTTGTATACACATTTGTCTACATTTAATAGGTTACCTGAACAAAATCAAGGTGTTTTTGAAGATCACTGTCTTTATGTGAGACGAACTGTTCAAAGTGCATGAGAGCTCGGGTGTATGCTTTGCAGTTGACACTGGCCTCAGCCAAACTATCCTTAGGAACACGCTCCAGGAAGTCATTGACAGCTTTGTAACCAGCATCGTTCAGGTAGCTGGTCTCTACCAACATAAAGTAGGATCACAAGTCAAGGCCATCAACTTCAACAACTGAGTTTATGACAGGAGGGGAGGAGGAACTAATATTATTTTGAGTGAGGCTAGGCTATCCTTGGAGTGAGTGAGTGAGTTTGGTTTTACGCCGCTTTTAGCAATATTCCAGCAATATCACGGTGGGGGACACCAGAAATGAGCTTCACACAATGTACCCATGTGGGGATTCGAACCCGGGTCTTCAGCGTGATGAGCGAACGCTTTAACCACTAGGCTACCCCACCGCCCTGGCTATCCTTGGAAGTCTGATTCTCTATGGCTATTTCTTTGTCGCTTGTTTCCATCTGCACCAAGCTGGTAGTATGTATACAATAACCTGTGTTATATAAAGACAAGATATGACCATCACACAGAGAACTAAATACACTGTCTTGACCTAGTTTTGTTTGTTTGTCATCAAATGCTGCAATCAGCAATTTCGCAGCTAAGTAATTGAATCTGGACCAGACAATCCATTTACTGACACAACTAGCATCAATCTGGGATATGATGCCATGCATTAAATAAATCTGCAAGTCTGACCACCCAATCCTGTTAGTTGCCTATCTTACGACAAACATGGTAAAGACCAATACTCGCCCGGTGAATGCATTCATCTGGGCCTATAAGGGAAATGGTCAAATGAATTCAGTCGACACTGATGGCCTGTCGGTGATATCAGCCCCTGTAAATACTTCAGTCAAGGGAAATCAGAGATTGAAAGTGAAATCAAAGATCTTTGCTTGTGTGAGATCATGTGCTATCAGCAAACCAGACAAGAACCATCCGATCCCCATTTATCCTGATATTTACTACAAGCTTGTAGTACTAAGGACTCAGTGTACGTTGTGAGTAGTTCATTTAGACCTCCTTTACATACGTCTAGTGCTGGAGTTGGCAGCTGGCTTGGCCTGTGCTCGGTGCCGACACCACTTGGCCAGATAGTCCAGGACAGAGAACACTGTCTGGGCACTCTTGTGGCGGAAGTCAGACGGGCTTCGATGCCGAGTGTCAGGTTTCTTCACCTGGTTGATCACCTCTAATATCTCAGTGTAGATCTACAACAAAAAGTCACAGGCTTTCTTGTTGTACGTTAATTTTATTGAGATTTACCTATGACCTATGAAAGAATTAAGGAATGATTTTAAAATATTTTTTATCATGGGGGACTTTCTACATTAATTGACAAAAGATGAATAAAGTCTTTCTGTTTTCATTGACTTAATTAACAGGTGCTGGGTTTTTTCTTTTCAAAGAATATACAGGTTTGTTGATATTTGCTATGTCTATCTGAAACCTGTAAATAATTCATTCAGTAACCTGTTATAATCAGCATAGTTGCAGGGGACCCATGTACCCCTGAGTCCCTGCGGAGCCAGCATATTTACACTGCTATGAAGTTACTGCCTGAAGATAAAGCATGTGTACATACCTCCTGAACGTCCTCGCTCCGTCCATCCTGCAGGACCTGCACAACCACGTGAGGCAGGATGTACAGCGCCACCTGGATGTTGTGCCGAATACATGCACTACATGCTTGGAATACTCGGGCAGCCTTTCCTGGGTTCAACTGAAATAAAAGCCAAGTTTGAGACCAGACACATATGATAGACATCTGCTGAAGTTGTGGCAGAGATGTAAAATTTAAAATACAATTTCTGTTAACTATCTGTCACAGTATATTTAAAAAGAGTTCAACAAGGCCTACAACAAATGAAACTTGGACTTTGATCACATTGAATTTTCAAATGAGTTAATTGTTTGATATTCTTCTGAAAAAGGCGTTTAATGAAACTGTTGGCTACATTAGAAAGTCATGTGTTCAGGTGCTTCAAGCAGTCACTGGAGAGGGTCATCATTTGGCCTTGTCACACAAACAAAAGGTCAGCTATATTCAAAACAACCAGTAAAAGCATGGGCTCCCCACATGGTATGATGACACATTTTCCCCTTAAATCAGTGTATTTCAAAGCATCACAGCAATCTGTAACCAAAGCCTCGCCCTTGTCACATCAAGAGTAACTCAATGACCAGGAGCAATATCAACACAAGAGTCATCAGAAGATGACTTATCCAACCGGTCCCCACATCTTTGAAAGAACAAATCATCTGACAGTTACTTAAAGTCCAGCTTGATTTTACACTAAGTGCAAATCGTTTCCATGGAAATGATGAAAAAAATAAATGACAAAAAATCTGCAAATAGCAAAAGGCACCACTTCATGATCTGCCTCACATAGCTGCCAAGTTTTACTGAAAGATATTAAGAAGTTTTTGAAACGAAACCCACCCCTCCCTTTTGAGACTAGGTCTAAATCGTTTCCATGGAAACCTAGAAAAATAAAAAAGACAAAAACTGTAAATAGCAAAAGGCACTACTTCAGGATCTGCCTGACATATCTGCCAAGTTTTGCTGAAAGATATTAAGAAGTTTTTGAGTTGTGCTCCGGAAACGAAGCCCACCCCTCCCTTTTGGGACTAAGTCCGAATCGTTTTCATGGAAACCGAAAAAATAATAATCACAAAAGTCTGTAAATAGCAAAGGGCACCACTTTGGGATCTGCCTCACATATCTGCCAAGTTTTGCTGAAAGATATTTAACCAAACCTGAAGAGGTTTTCAATTCTTTGAAGAGAGTCGTCCTTGGGGTACATATTATGCATTTTCCGGCTGAAAAATGTCCTGTGACAGTTGTATCAATGTTTTTTGAATAAAAAGATTGAACAATAAATAAACTCTTTTATTTATTATACGGTCCCTGCCTCACGGAGTTACCTCCCTTAGCGCATGCGCACCAACTGGGTAGGCTCCTAGACCCATATCATCATTCCTTCTGCTGAATATATCAGAGAACAGAATTGCGGGAGGCGGGAGGCCCTACCCCAGGATCTAATTATCTCTTCAAAGAATTGAAAACCTCTTCAGGTTTGGTTAATTCTTTTTCAGAGAGATCGTCCTTGGGGTACATATTATGCATAAACACAGACTCCCAAAGACCGGAGGCCAGGGAGGAGGGAATTCTGTCCAAGCACACACAAATATAGCGATCGGTACATGGAAAAAAATTGAACAGACGCCATAACACTCACCTGTCACTTGACCCAGTTTCGCTTCCGCGAGAGGCATGCTGGGAGGGGAACTGACAGGGAGGAATTGTGCTCAAAGACGACCTCTCTAGCATAATGAGACATTGCACGAGTGCGAATGTCAATGAATCCCAACCCACTAAGTAGCTACATGAGAGCACCGAGGGGGGAATGCAAAATACCACTCACTAACGATATAGTAACTCCGTGAGAGAATCGAAAAGGGGTACAGGTTCTCTGAGTGAGCTCACAGTAGCAGACATGTCAATAATGGAATTATTGTACAGTAGCGCCAAACAAACCAATAAACCAAGACTCACTCGGTCAGGGTGGCAGGACACTGTCCACTGGAGAGAACAGTACGGCTAAAGTCGCGACGATTACGGAATCGCGCGACGAGCTGATAATGGCGATAAACGCTTACCGGCTCCAAATAGCGGGCAGATCTCTTCAATGGGGAGTGCCGATGCAAAGCTTTTGAGGCGGCTACTGCCCTGACCGAAAGTGAGCCTTCAACCCCTCAGGGGAGGCTTGCCCTTAGCCTGATAAGCGGCACAAATATACGAGACTAGCCAGCGAGACAAAGTCTGCTTGCTCGCTGGCAGACCAGCCTTCCCGCCACCGTAACAACAGAACAGCTGGGTACCCGCACAGATCCCCTGCGCTCGCTTGATATAGACTTTGAGCTGCCTTACGGACATCCAACGGGTGAGTGCTCGAGGAGTGGTCCCCATGTGGAAGGCTGGGTAAGAGTAGGAAGTTCGATAGGAGCTGTCACATGGAAGCGTGATCGACCTTCGGTCGGTAAGTATCTGGGAGGCGAATACTGACACGATCCGCGGTGAAACACAGTCAGCGCCCGGTCGGACGACATAGCATGTAAATCGCCGACCCTTCGACCAGATGTTACCGCCAGAAAACAGCTTCCAGGTCAACAACTGAATGGAAATAGCCGATAGGTGTGAGAAAGTGGGACCGGACAGCCAATCGAAAGCACGATCGACAAATCCTTAAGGTGGACTGATTCAGCCTGAGAGCAGGTCGAATCCGCTCCGCGCCAGCGAAAGCGCTGCCAGACGAGGGTGCTGCCCCAGAAGAGCACCATCGACAGGGGTGTGAAAAGTGGAAATAGCGGTGGAGTAGCCGCGAATGGTCGGCTCAGCCAGGCCTTCTTCCAAACGAAGCTTGCAAAAACTCCAATACTCGGACTAAATCCGCAGAAAAGGGATCTGCAATCCCCCTGATCTGAACACCAGCGCATAGCGGGACCACCTATCCTCGCACTGAACGCTTGTCTAATCCCAGCCGAAGCCAGAATTGTGTCTGCAACTGCTGCAGGAATTCGCAGCGTGCCTCGAGGTTAGACCTGACAGAGGTCAAGCCACCCACTGAATCCGTGGATTTGGGTGGGGCGCCCGCTCTGAGTGAGAATGTCCGTCGCAAAGGTAATAGAACAGGAGGCTGAGCCAGAAACCTGAGAATACCGGAAACCAGCTCTGTGGACGGCCAAAGCGGTGCCAGTAGCACAAGTAGCCGAGCTGGCTGGGTGGACAGCTGTGAAAGGACACGGGAATGAGTGGTAATGGCGGAACGCCCAGAGCACTTTTGCCCGCCCAATCCAGCAGGAAGGCCGGCAGCCAACGCCTCTGGGTCCGGTATCCGAGCAGAACACGGGTGTCTGATGCGCCCGCCGACGCAAACAGATCCACCTCGAACGACCCGCACAACTGGGAGATTACTGTGAATATCTGCCTGTCGAAAGCATCCACTGCGCGGGCCAGGATCCGCGAGAGCGCGATCTGCTCGCGACGCTCTCCAGCCCCGGAGATAAACAGGGAGTACCTGACAATCGCATTCGGTCCCACCAGAGAAAGTCCCACGCCTCCGGAGGAGCGCTGGGGACACCGCGGCCTCCCCTGCTTCAGGATGTACTCGACATGGCCGCCTGGTTGTCTAACTGAAGACGACTACCTGGCAACGGACATGCTCTCTGAAGCCGAATACCAACCGCGACAGCTCTCAGTTCCAACACGTTGATGTGAAGGTGGGCTTCGCTTCGACCAGAGTCCGGAAGCCGACAGACTGCCCAGAACACACCCCCAGCCCGTGAGGGACGATCGGTCTGAACTGTGAGAGCTGGCGTCGGGATTTCAAGGGGAACCCCTGGTGAGATTCCCGACATTTGTCCACCACTGAAGGTGAGGTGTCAACCACTTTCGGGGACTGTGAGACTGCGCTCCAGATCCTCCGCGGTGAGTCCACAGCCGAGCCAAAGCTTGCTGTATGGGACGATTCAACCGCGCCCGCCACACTACAGAGATCGTCGCCGCCATATGGCCCAGTAGACGGAGCCAAGTCCGTGCTGGTGCCTGGGGCTGGGAGAGGAATGAAGATACCATCTCCCGAACTCTGGTGACCCCGGTCGGGCGACAAGGAAACGAGATCCTTGTTCGCTTGAATCGGGCGCCTCCAAGAAAACCAAGTCCTGGGTGGGTACCAGGTCGGATTTCTTGAGGTTGATGATCCACCCCAGTCGAGTTAGAATGTCTATCACTGTGTGAGTAGCATCTTGACTTCGCTGGCTGTGTTAGTGCTCGAGCAACCAGTCGCCTAGGTAAGGGTAACAACGCCTTCCTTGCGAAAGAGCTAGGGTAGCTGGGACTAACATGAGCTTGGTGAACACCCTTGGGGCAGTCGATATGCCGGAAGGGGAGCACCCTGAATTGGTAATACATCCCGTCGTAAGAGAACCGAAGGTACCGCTTGAACGATGGATGTATGGGTACATGCAGATACGCGATCCTTTAGGGTCGATTGACGGAGCCAATCGCCGGGCTGAACAGATGAGATCACCGGCGCAGTGTCTCCATCTTGAAGGATGGTACTGAGCATGCGATTCAACCCCTTGAGGTTGAGAATCGGACGGACCCGCCGTCTTTCTTGGGACGAGGAATCAGTGGAATAAAATCCCGCCTGTTCCTCTCCCCGGTGGAATGCGCCGATTGCGGACTTGTCCAGCAGAGCCTGAACTTCGTCGCGCTAATATGTCCGCCCTGGCTTGACATGACGGCACCCGAGTGCGACGTATGCCAGTGAAGTCGGGCGACCTCGCTTCACAGTGGGAGATGGCCTATGCTGACCGTGGCCAGCACCCAAGCGTTGTTGGTAGCCTTCTACCATTCCGCAGGAATAGAGAGAGGCCTCCCACTGGGATATGGGGTAGAGAGCTGCGTGTAGACCCGGTAGCGGAGCTGACTGGCTGGTGACACGGCTTGAGCGGCAGCCTGATGGGTTAACGGGAGGTCGGGCAGACCTCCGCGCCCTAAAAGGCTGGGAGCTAGTCGAGGACTGCTCCTTGCCCCTACTCTTGGCGGACCTGTTCCTCCGCCTACCCCTACCAAGCGGCCGGCCAGCCGGCAGACTCAGGTGTAGGCTGCACCCGGGCGGAGGAAGGTGGCACAGGAGCGCTGGGCGAAGACACCGCTGGTGCTCCAACAAGGCCTTAGAGTCCTTGAAGGAGGTAGCTGCAGCGGCAGCCTCCCGTGATGACCTGCTGGGCCCCGAAAGAGGGTCGCCCCAGGACGGAAAGGGGAGGGCCAGCAAGGTCTGCTGTGTTGCTGCCGAGTACCTAGACGCCGACAGCCACAGCCTCGCGATCCCATGACGATCAGCGCATCACCGTCGACGCAGCAGACCGCAAAGAGTCGCTACAGGTGAGCCTGAACTTCCGAAAGCTGACGGAGCAGCAGCGACATGCGGCGACATCGCCGCCAGCATGCCCTCCGCCTCCAGGGCCTAACCTCTGAACCGAGGAGAGGTAGGCCTCATGGACCACCACCGCACCTGCTGCATCGGCGTTCCGGTAGACCTCCTCGTAGGTCGATGCACGCGCTGCGTCGCAGGGATAGCGCCAGGGCAAAGGTGGAGTAAAGGCGCCTTTGCCGAAGCAGCCGAGCTGCTCCGAGGAAGCCGAGCTTCCCCAGGGCGACGTGGAAGTGAACACACATTCGCCTCTACAATTGGCACAACGAACAGGAATCCTCCCCAAGCTGGTAGCGCCGCGACGAGATCCGGTAAGTCAAACCGCATCGGGCACCAGACAAGAGGGGATCGACCACGCCCGAGACCAACGAAGGCAGAATGCGGAGCTGCGTCTCGCGAGGGTTGCCTGGGGCAAACGCCGCCTGGCAAGCGGAACTCAGTCAGTCCACGCAACCAGCAGGCACCGCTGCCTGGGGTAGGCCTCGCAATTCTCTGCCGGACCTCCCGCGAGGCGGCGGGCAAAACGGAAGCCGCCGCCAGGCTCCTCAACCTCTCGAAGCAGCCGAAGGCCCGGATCCGGAAGCCAGAGGCAACGGATCTACAGAGCGCCTCAAGGCTGAGGGATCGAAGCCGGAAGCCCGGGCGATCCCACCCCGACTCTCCCGCCGTCGAGTGGGTGAGGAACTCCTGCCGGAGACCTCCAACCGACTCGAGACGAAGGACTTCACGGAGTCCATATGCTGCTGAAACATAGATTCCATTACCGACATGTCAAAACCACTCGAAGTGGTAGGAGAGGGGAAGGGCCCGGGATTTTTTCCTTTTTGACGCTCGCTTTTTTTAGACGGGGACCTGCGCCAGGTCCCTCCCGCCTCACGCATCTCACGATAAAACAACGATCGCCGCCTCTTCTGGGCCGGGGAAAAGGCCAGACAAATAGGGCAGGAATCAGCGCCGTGGTCCCGTCTTTCGAGACAGGCAACGCGCATAGCTCATGCCCTGTCGGCCCGCGGAATTTCTCTCTGTCCACAGACCGAACAGGATGAAAAGGCCTGAAAGCAAACACGCAAGCATGTAGCTAACAGCCGCCAGCAGCATATAAACACGTAGAAAACATTGAAAAATACGTGAAGGTTACCACGAAAGTAATAGTTGGTTTTAATACGCCAATATTACGACCACATGGCACGCTAAAACTTCCCGCCATGGCAGAGCAACACGCGCGTAAACCACGGAAAGTTCGGTATTTTGTATTAATACAAAGTCACAATTATGAAACAACCAACTGTAAAGCTTTACTGTTCCTTGTTTTAGGCAAATAAAGACCATACATACAGGTGGTGTCTCGGACATAGCTTTCTTATTAGCTTTCAGCTGTCCGCTCATGAAGTGCGTTCTATTACAAAACACGCCTGTTCACGCAGTGACAGCAGAAGGAATGATGATACGGGTCTAGGAGCCTACCCAGTTGGTGCGCATGCGCTAAGGGAGGTAACTCCGTGAGGCAGGGACCGTATAATAAATAAAAGAGTTTATTTATTGTTCAATCTTTTTATTCAAAAAACATTGATACAACTGTCACAGGACATTTTTCAGCCGGAAAATGCATAATATGTACCCCAAGGACGATCTCTCTGAAAAAGAATAAGAAGTTTTCGAGTTGTGCTCCGGAAATGAAGCCCACCCCTCACTTTTGGGATTAAGTTCGATTCATTTCCATGGAAAACAGGAAAAATAAAAATGCCAAAAATCTCGAAATAGCAAAAGGCACCACTTAAGGTTCTGTTTGATATATCTAACAAGTCTTGTTGAAAAATATTGAACGGTTTTTGAGTTATGCTCCGGAAACGAAGCCCACCCCTCACTTTTGGGACTAAGTCCAAATCGTTTCCATGGAAAACGGGAAAAATTAAAATGCCAAAAATCTGCAAATAGCAAAAGGCACCACTTAAGGTTCTGTTTGATATATCTACCAAGTCTTGTTGAAAAATATTGAACGGTTTTTGAGTTATGCTCCGGAAACGAAGCCCATCCCTCTTTAAGACTAAGTCCAAAACGTTTCCATGGAAACCGAGAAAAATAAAAATGACAATAATCTGTAAATAGCAAAAGGCACCACCTTAGGTTATGTTTGACATATCTTCCAATTTTTGTTGAAAAATATCAAAGGTCTTTGAGTTATGCTCCGGAAACAAAATGATTACAGACGGGCGGACGGACGGACGAGGCCACGACTATATCCCCCCGTAATACATGCCGTGGGGATAAAAAACCCACAGATTTACTTTAAACTAGTTCATGCAATCAGTCATAAACAACAAAATAGAAAAAGAATGAGACTATATGAGCACATTCGTGATAATGGATGGGGAGGGTTGTAGAGCATCTACCACCTACATCAGCCAGCAAGATTTATCCCTCTGGCTATAGTCAGTTGCGAGAAGGTATACAATCAAAACCACGGTTTAAATGATATGGTTTTAAATACCAAACATGCAAGAAGTACAGTGTACAACACTCTTAGTAAGAGACTTGCAACAGTTATATGGCAAAGAAGCTTACCACATTGAGTAGTGCATAGAGACAACGTTCTGATCCATCCAAAGTGCATGTTGTGTCGTCAGCAAATTGATTCAGTAAATTAATATAAAAAGTTGTCAATCGAAATACCCTCAATATTCTTATTCTTTCATATCATTATTGTGAATACCTCCGCACATAAAAGAAGAGTCATCAGAAGATGACATATCTCCCAGGCCCCCACATCTTTGAAAGAACAAGGACAGTTACTTAAAGTCCAGCTTGATTTTAGACTAAGTGCAAATCGTTCCATGGAAATCATGAAAAAAATAAATGACAAAAATCTGCAAATACCAAAAGGCACCACTTAAGGTTCTGTTTGATAATATCTACCAAATTTTGTTGAAAAATATTGAACGGTTCTTGAGTTATGCTTCGGAAACGAAGCCCACCCCTCACTTTTGGGACTGAGTCCAAATCGTTTCCATGGAAAACGGGAAAAATAAAAATGCCAAAAATCTGCAAATAGCAAAAGGCACCACTTAAGGTTCTGTTTGATAATATCTACCAAATTTTGTTGAAAAATATTGAACGGTTCTTGAGTTATGCTTCAGAAACGAAGCCCACCCCTCACTTTTGGGACTAAGTCCAAATCGTTTCCATGGAAAACGGGAAAAATAAAAATGCCAAAAATCTGCAAATAGCAAAAGGCACCACTTAAGGTTCTGTTTGATATATCTACCAAGTCTTGTTGAAAAATATCTAACGGTCTTCGAGTTATGCTCCGGAAATAAAATGATTACAGACGGACGGACAGAGGGACAAGGCGACGACTATATCCCACCGCATTACATGCCGGTGGGATAAAAAAGGCATCGAGAGTATGCAAGTTCCAATAAGGAGACCCCAAAACGCTTCAAAGGAAAACATCCGTGACTGACAGGGGACATGCAAAGTAAGAGTAAGACCCTCACCCTGGATGTGAGATGTATGAGATAGCCTGTCCAGTTGCTGACCCAGTCCTTGAAGTTACCTCCCTTGGTACTCTGGTAGATTGGCTTGGGGCACTTGTCCCACACAGCTTCTGATGCCAGTTTGTATCTGTGGATATATTGCTTCTTTATAATCGTTTCCATGGCTCTACAATCTAAGCATTCATTTGTTGTATAATAAATAAAAATATGGCAGTGTTGGAATAATTGAGTATAGATCAAACAATTCTGAGCATATTTGTCTAAACACCACTTGAAATCATTTTAACTTTGCACTGACTTGGAAGTAAGCAGGGGTATGAGAATCTCCTGCATGTGTTCTGGGAATCTCCTCCAGAGCTTGTTTGGGGTCTTGTCGCTCTCCTTCCCTTCAGATATTTCATAGATTTGCAGCAGGTCTTGTAGAGCGAAGGCCGAGCAGTCCTGAAACATGGAGCAGCAAGTGCATGTGCGTGTCTGTGCGTGCATGTCAGTGTTTATTGGCACTATAAGATGCAGATTCATATAGCATAATTAGTATCAGAAGCCCAACCTTTGGGGTAACAGGCCTTAGTTGTAAGTGTACCTACCTGGACTCTTGGTTCTGTGGCTGACAGGAAGGCTTTGAGGACCTCATTGATGAGACCAACAGCAAAGTTGTCGTCTTCCACTGTAGCCTTGAATTTTGTCATTTCCTCCTTTGGGTTGTTTCCCATCAGCTCAAGTCTGCACCACAATAAAAGGTCGGTATAGTTAAACTGAAAAACTTTCTGACAGACTGACTGACTGAGTTTGGTTTTACGCCGCTTTTAGCAATATTCCAGCAACATCACGGCGGGGGACACCAGAAATGGGCTTCACACATTGTGCCCATGTGGGGATTCGAATCCGGGTCTTTGGCGTGACGAGCCAACGCTTTAACCACTAGGCTACCCCACCGCCCCTAAAAACTTTCTGACATGATTCTACTTCTTTTACAGAAGAGCTTGTCAGGTTATGTCGATAGCCTACACCAAATAATTAGTGTGAATTTTTTTTAATTACTTCAAAAATATTTGAGCATTGAAGCTCATTTTCCAAATCTAATATGATCTAAGCAGGTTAGATAGATAGATCTAAAATGAATATTATATACAAAATTCACAAAAATATACACAATAATTACATGCACAAAATGAATGCTAATGATTCAATACAATTAACCACATTGGTACAGCGGCTGAGTTAGTAGTTATCGTATGAATGATAGCTATTCAATAACATTTGTTGCATTAATAACACGAATACTGTATGGTATGAAGGAGTGTCGAGCTCTGTTTGTTTTAAGTGAAGGAAATCGAAAGAGGTGTCCAGATGGAAGTAGTTGAGAATTTTAGTTGCCTAATTGACAATCTGGCGCTCATAATAAATAAAAGGAATACTGTATACTCGAAAGACACTCCAGTAATTTTGCTGGCAGTATTACCAAGTTTGAAAAGTTTGTTTTTGTTGCGAGCAGACAGACACCCATACCAACATACAAAATTGTAGGTCACCACACTTTGAATAAAGGTTTGATAAAAAACGATCATTATGGTTTTGTCAATAGAAAAGTTTCTTATTGACAAAACCATAATGACTGTTTGGAGGCTGGCGTTATGGTGTCCTTTCTCTAATTCAACCTGAGTTTGTACAACCAGACACCTGTCTAAAAGATCATGTAAGAGTATCCCTTCATAAAATAACTCATGTTATTGGTGTATTAACCTGTTTTAAAGGAATGTCATAACAAGTGATCTTCAAAGTTAGCAAAATCATCTACCAGAATGATTGTTTTGGTGTCATCACTACTGAAGCAAAAGCATATGGAAAACTAATTTGGATATTCAAATGATTTCAACAGGATCAAAGTATTTAACATTCTCCAACATTATAAAAACAACATATCCAATGATTATGCTGACAAACTGATCTCTAAGGTTGTGTTTTTCCAGAACACTGCATTACTGCAGAAATAGTCATTTTTAAATGTTGAAAACCCCCTTCCCCCACAAAAACAACCCTCCTATCAATCCTTCGAATTCCATTGTATATATATTCAGTGGTTCTGAAAAGATGTTTAAGTTCGGCACTAAGGAGTGGATGGACAGATGAGCGAACCAATGAATGGATGATGACACATGACTCACCTGGATGTAATGTTGAGTTAAAAATGAAAACACAGTCCTGCACAAGGAGTCTCCTAATGTAAAATCTGAAAGAAGGACTTGATTACCTGCCAGGGTCAATAGCCCCAAGTTCACCAAGACATTCAGCGTACAGCAATTCTGCCTCACTGTCAGACTCGCGACACCCAGCCATCAACTGCAGGACACAGGCAACATCACCATGACCGTGGGGAAATGATTTAAACATATTTATTTCCAATGAAAGGAACCGGTATGGTAAACAAGCATAAGCTTATATGAATACCGCTCCGGGAAAACTACCAACTACTTCAAAGCATCAAACTCAAAAGTCAGGAATTTTATTTCACAGCAAAAGCAATGGATAATTTGCAAATCAAGAACAAAAAAAAATAAAATAAAAAAATTAGTAAAATCTAAATATTTTTTATATTTGTATACTTATCCTGCACTACTTACTTCCTGCACTTATTGCTTACGGCTCGAAAAGCGTGGCTTGCCAGACGATGTCAAAAAGACGTAGAACTGCAATCACTTCCTGGTCTCGGCTGCTTACTCGTCTGCGCATGCGTCACCGGAAGGTGACGTCAGCCACCTCAGATTATTGCTTAGAAATCCCACAGATGGCAAAACTAAGCGGGGAGGTAGCTGATAGCACAGGGTGGGCCCTTATCATAAGTAGTGCAGGATAAGTATACAAATATAAAAATATTTAGATTTTACTAAATTTTTAACTAATCCTGCACTACTTACTTCCTGCACTTTATCCGACAGGCTGGAAGGTGGGCGTGTCATCTGAGGGATCGCCTCGCCACGTAATAGCAGCCAGCTCAATCCGTAATCCTGTGCCCGGAAGCGCTGATAACGCCTATAACAGAGAGCTTAATTAGCGAGGGGATCTATCAAGTAGCGGTAATTCGCAAATAAGACCGCGTCTTAAATGAAAAAGAACCCACTAATTTTAAAGCTGGCGAAGCTTAAGGAATGCAGCAAAAAGCATGGACTTGAAAAAACAAGGATAACTCCTTAACTGACATACCTAGTTGTTTGTGAAGAAAAACAACTCATTCCCCACATGGTGGTCCGTGGAAGGAAACACAAGGCAGGAGGGTCACTTTCTTCGGGGAATGGCGAGTTGCTGAGCAACCACCAATGGTCCGAAGCTGTGGACATCATTAACGTCCTTGACAGCCATGTCAATGCGAAGTAATGACTGGCAAACACTGTGTCCGACCGCCAAAAACAACCTTGCATAATGGATGACACAGTGCAATTACTGTGAAGTGCCATAGTCGAAGCAAGTGCTCGAATCTCGTGGGGATGAGAGGGCGAGGAGAGGTCCAGCCCAGCCGCTTTATATGCCTGAAGAATGGTTGTTCTTAACCATAAGGCAATAGTGTTTTTGCTGACATCTGACTGCGGCGCCGGGACAGTGGAAGAAATAAACGCGTTTCCTTGTACCACGAATGCTTTTGGTGCGATCAATGTAAGTTTTGAGCGACGAATCGGACATAACAGTAATTCCGCGAACGCCTTCAGAGCCAACAATAGATGATAATGGCGGGATGGAAAACTGGCGATCAGGTTGTCCTGGTAGTTGGTTTTAGCGATGAAATCCCAACACATACCTAAGTGCACAGAACCATGACGACGGCGTTCAAACTTGATCCTAGTCACGTCAAGGCGTGAACCTCACTCACTCTAGCCGCGAGTCGCTAATGACAACAGAAATGCCGTCTTCCTGATAAATCAGCGAGGAAGCGTTATCAAGAGGTTCATACGGTGCACCACGGAGATGGTCTAAAAACAGTGTTGAGATTCCATGCCGGGCGATGAAACTTCAACTTCTGGTCTTCAAGTCGGAATGAATGAAGCATGGCCTGTAATTCTGGGATTTTGGAAATCCTTCTGTCAGTGGGAATCGCTAAAACAGAGCTAATTGCCGCCAAAACGCGGCAATGGTGCCTCCCTTCAGACGCCTGGACGCTCGGAGATAAAGTAAGAAATCTGCTATGAACTGAGGAGACACAGTCAGCGGATCCTGCTTCTTGGTAACACAAAAACGCTCAAACGACTGCCACTTGTCGCCATACAAATGTCTAGTAGAAGTTCTGTGCGCCCGCCGCGAATGGCTTTGGCTGCTCTAGCCGAAAAACCCTTAGCACTCAGTGCTTTCTGCAAATGGTCCATGCGTGCAGATTGAATCGGTCTGGAGCCGGATGCGAAGATGGCTGTGAGGGTGCACTAGAACGTTCCTCCACGGGTAGAGGGAAGGGATCTCCTACCACTAGACTTTGTAGAACGGAAACCAGTTCCTGGCTGGCCACCAAGCGACCAAAATTAGTCGTAGCAAGTTGTCTCCTTGACTTTTGCGAGAACTTTGGGTAATAGAACTGGTGGCCGGAACGCATACACGCTGTGAAGTCCCTCCCATGATAGGCTGAGAGCATCCACCGCCTAAGCCGCTGGATCTGGGACTGGGGACACATACACTGGCAGTTGATGGTTTTGGCTGGTGGCAAACAGATCTATGTTTGGATAACCCAGCGTGACTTAAAAGAGTGAAGGCCTCCTTGTGTAGCATCCTCCGTTGGAACAACTCTGTCGGGTCTCGAGAGCGTCTGCTAGTATATTGCGCACCTCGAATATGCCGCACTCTCAACAGAATGTGGAGATCGTCGACCAGTTGAAAGAGCGAAATGTCTGATCGAGGAGAAACTGTGAGTGTGTCGACCCTTGCCGCTCGTATGTACCATACACGACCGTGGTGTTGTCTGTAGCCACTAGAAGACAAGTTCCTCGTAGTCGATGTGCCCAATGATGAATAGCGAGGATCACGGCCTCCAACTCCAGACTGTTTATATGCCAGTTGATGTGTTGACCCGACCACGGGCCGGAGGCTGTCTGGTCGTGTAAGTGAGCGCCCCAACCCTGCAGGAGGCGTCCACGAACAGTTGGCAATCCGAGGCTGCTCTGTCAAAGAGACTCCTCCTAAGACGTTCAATGGGCGAGTCCACCAAAGAAGATAGCGATGTAACTGAGGTGGAAGGCAAAACCGTTGATGAACGCTCTGCCCGGCGAATGTATGGTTGAAGAAACCGCTGCAGAGGACGAAGTTGAAGACGCCCTCTGCTGGTAAGATCCTGCCCGACGCCAACAATCCCAGAAGTGACTGCCACTCTCTGAGGGACAGAGGTTGGGAGAGTGCGCGTGGAATCAGAGACTGAATCTTGTCCCACCTGTCCAGGGAATCTGAACTAGGTTCTTGTCCGTCTGGAAATGGCCTCCGATGAACGCCAGAGTGTGAGTTGGGACAAGCTCCGATTTGTCCAAGTTGACCAGCCACCCTAGTTGGCTGCCAACAGGCGAAGGGTGAAATCCCTCGTTGTTGTATAAGAAGTAGACGGTCTAACAGGTGCATAAGGCAATCGTCCAGGTGCGGTCGAAATTGATGCCCCTCAAATGTAGATACCGGAAATAGGAGTTGTGATGCGTGTAGGAACAACCACGGGCCGTTGAAATTCCAAATGGGAGGACAGCCCATTGGAAATGTTGATTGTTGAAAATAAAGCGCAGGTACTTCCTGTCGCTGGGGCGATGGAACATGGAGGTATGCATCCTGTAGGTCCAGGCTGATGAGAAAGTCGTTGGACGATACCATAGATTTGAGGTATTCGAGGGACGCCATTCGAGCGCGGAGGACGTTCCAGGAAAGTCTCGTTGAAATAGGACAGATTGTGAATCATCCTCATTTTCGCGGACCCTTTCTTCGGCACTAAGAATATTGGAGAATAAAACCCTGGTGTTATGATGGGATACGGGAGGAGTTCGATGGCTCTTTTCTCCAACAAAATCGCTATGTTCTCCACTAGAAGGTTGTGTTGAACCTGAGAGTGATTGTGCCGGAGCCGGGAACATTGTCAGAGGTGGATCCGGAGAGGAGGGGGAGAAACCCCTGCCTCAATATATCGGTGGCGTATGGATCCTCTAGGATGGACCAATTTTCCCAAAAGATCCCTATTCTCCCACCTACCGGTGTAGGATAAACTGGGACGACTGGAGGTGGGAGTGTCCAGTCGTGCGTGTCCCTCACTTCACTTGCCCCTAAGCCCGCCGCCCTGGGCGGAGCACTGGCGACGTTGATATCCACCCTGTCTGATCTAGGCTTGGCACCCGTCCCCTGCCACGAGACGGCAAGCTGAGTTTCTGTACGCTGGCCGAACAGGCGGTCGCCGAGGCTGGTAGGTGTTGGATGGCGATGGAGGCAGGGCGTTGTCCCTTTGAAAGCGCTTTCAAGGCAGTCTCCCCTTTGGCAAAATCACACACCTGCCGATAAACATCATGAATGGCATCGTTAAACAGTGACGACGATGACCAGGGTTGGTGGAATAATTTCCGCTGAAATTCGAATCCCATGAAGAAAGGAGAGGAAGCCTTGCCCGACGATTTAATTACGTGTTGTTAGCGCCGACCTAAGGTGTTCACGAGGTCAGTGATCACTTTACCCTGCCATAGCATCATAGTTGTAAGATGATCCAGTCAATCCGATTTATTTCCTTAAGATCCTGAGTGATGGCATCAGTCGCTGACGCCAATGCCGATATAGGGCGGAGCATACGCTTAAGCTCTAAGTCCAAAGCCGCTGACCCTTGTATCCTGAACTTTATAGGAGGACACAGAGGAAGAACCTGTCACACGTTTCATTTCCTCATCCACCTTAGTCACTGTCTGGGCAAAGTCCAAGCCATGAATAGGATAGTCATCACAGGCGTACTCTAGGCTTTAATAGTTGGGTTGAGAGACATTCCATGAAATCTTCATCAAGGGTAGAGAATCTCTGACCGCCTCATGTGCTGGTAACATTAAGGAAGGCGAGTCCCAAATAGTAAGTGACTTTGCAACATCAGGCCTGGTGAAGGGACTGAGGCTATTAAACGATCAGCAATCCAGTCAAACACGTGATCAAAGCCAAGGTGATTAGAGCCCGTGTCTTCCTCATAGTCTGGGGCAAAGTCCTCTCAGAGGGCGCGTGAGCGAAGCGGCAAAGGGGAACGGCTACGTGCAGACGACGCCTTAGCAGAAGACGCTTTACTACGAGGTCTCGACCTATGTTAAGCCTGCGAAGGCGATGGACCTATAGTGGGAGGCGTTAAGCGCAAGGCACAGGAGCGAACAAAGTTGACAAGATAGGCACCGATGCTGGAGGGCAGAGGCGCCCGAAATCGTCGGAGGTGGCAAAGGTGGCAAGGCGCTGGAAGCCAGGGGGGAGAGGCGCCGATGTAGCTGGTGGCATAAAGCGGCATAGGCTGATGTACCGGCTTGACCTGATAGTAAAGTCAAGAGAGAGTGCTGGCGTGGATACATCAAACTGCTGGTGGCCGTGATGGCGTTTGCATCATAGGCATTCGAGGCATTGGAAACCCGTATGTGGTTGATACGCAAAGCGTCTGCCCGGGAACACTGGCTGGGGTGTCTGATACTGGGCAAACTGCTGGCCCATCGGTCGTTGTGGAGATGACATCGGCAACAGCGAGAGGAGGTGAGGGAGTGCCAAAGCCGAAGCCGCCAGGCGCCGCCGATCAAGCGCCGACGAAGCTGCAAGCGCGAAGCCAAACGCTGTAACACCCGCGACATAAGCGGCGAAGACATAATCTGAATGCTGGTGACAGGCGATTCGTTGACACAGTTGACGCCGCAACACTTGGCGAAGACGTAGTGGTCGTCAAGACCCGGTGTCAAGTAGTAGACATACTCTTCCGTCTCTGTTGTCCCATGGCTTCTTAACAACCTGTAGATAAGCGGAGAAACTCTTGGGTGATAGCACAGCGCAGCTGGCACATTTATGGCCAGAGGTACATTGAGTAGTACATTTCAAACATCGGGGATGAGGGTCTTACTGAGACTTCCCACCCGACAATGTATACAACTGGGCTGTACATAGATCTGCAATGAAGCAGAAAACCCAGTAAGCAGCACATACAAAAGTAATGAATATAACAGCAAAGTTGAGAACAAAAGTCTCAAAATAACTGAAAGTTTAAGAGACCATAATACAGGCACAATAAATATACCACTATTATATGGTATAGTATATAAGCCTGAACCAAATGAAACACAACGACGTATCAAATACGGCAAAAGTGTTTTAATGGCGAAGTGAAAGTGTGATGACGGGACCGTGTATAAACGAACGACATCACTACACAGAACTACTGAATGACAAAAAGAAAGTGAAAGATAATACCTACACTACTCGTAGAGGTACAAAACAAAATACACACAAAGTCAGTCTTTATTAATGCTTCACAAAATATAATCCCGTGAGGATACAAGTTGAGCTGGCAAACAACACGCCTAGCGAGGCGTGCGAAAAGCAATAATCTGAGGTGGCTGACGTCACCTTCCCGTGACGCATGCGCAGACGAGTAAGCAGCCGAGACCAGGAAGTGATTGCAGTTCTACGTCTTTTTGACATCGTCTGGCAAGCCACGCTTTTCGAGCCGTAAGCAATAAGTGCAGGAAGTAAGTAGTGCTGGATTAGTTAAAAATTAAGAAATGTTTGTTGTTGCTTTTTGCTTTTTTTTTGGGGGTGGGGGCAAAAATCAAAGCCTTCACCAAATAGAAAAACAAAACATTCCAGATTAATTTGTTTGCATTTGAGAATAATGTTTGATGTATCTTGATAGATTTTTAGCCAGAAAGAGAGATGAAAAACAATGTGCACTCACAACAGTCACCAGCTGAGATATGATAGGGTCCGCTACTTCACTCCCCATAATGTACTCATTCAGTGTATCCTGAAACAACATGAACATTCACAGGTCACTGATAATGCCATACTAACACGCCGAAGACATGAGTTCATACAACTGATACAATCATGATGGTGTTTGACCGTGCTGCAGACACCTCACTGTGCCTGCACTAATGTTCAGGGTACTAACTGGGAAACAACAGATTGCCAGCAGTTTTCAAGTTCGCTTCATGTTTTAGATATTATTTATATTTAACATTATTTCATAACAACCTATTCATACAGTTAATGTTTTATTTATCACAATTACAGACATACAGACCTACAGATAACGTTTTGGGTCACCGGTTATGTATTCGCTTGTTTTCATCTCAACTGGGTATCCTAATTTTCCTTGAGTTACCAAATAAATTGTACTCACTTCACTCAAACTCAATTGGGTATTTTCCATTAATTGCAAAAATATAATAAAGTTTATATGTTAGTGTTTGATATTTATATTTGATCTGTAATATGAAAAACGATAAGAAAGACTGCAAGTTGCCAAGTTCATGTCCTGAAATAGAACCTCTCAATATACCTCATTTATTTATCTATCCACCGGTACGCAAGCTAAGATTTGACATTTTTGTGTGTACGCATGTAAGATCACATTTATTGAGTATTTACAAAAATTCAAGCATACTTGTACGCAATAGACTTAATAGGAATTGAGTTTTCACATAAACATTGGCGTAATTTAAGCAGATATGCAGCTTATCTGTCCCTCTGGACATACCATCATTTTACAACATCATTTGATCAGAAGGAATAAGGGCTGAACGAACATAGCTTTACTATATATATATATATATATATACTTTGAGAGAACACTTTCCACCTATCATTTCACAAATCATACCAGGAATGTGCGGAGGCATTTCAGGGAGCACTAATCCCCAAGCTGTTATCATGTTTATACTTATAATCAAACTCCCTATCATTACTCCTGGGTGCAGGCACACTGAGGTCAGACAATTTGATACACGTCTCACTTGACATTTTCCAATACCTCATTATTTTTTACTAAACATATTATAAACAGTTGTAACGTTGGTCACAACATTTAATGAGAAACTCAAAGAATAGTGAAATCCAACACACTGTAAAAGATGTCGATTGCATACATCATGGTAATTCTTACTGATCCAGTGATAAATCTACAAATTCAACTGCCCGAGTCCCGGGACTCACTGAGCTGAATAACTATGAGTCCCTCAGAACTTTTATGAGTCCCTAACAAAAATTAATGCCACAAATATTATTCAAACTGGTTTATTGTTACTATAGGTTGCACAGGTGAGTCTGACCGGTCTGGGATATTTCACAGAACAGAGCTGGTAGTACCTAAATCGTAACAAATGGAGACTTCCATTTTAACTTGTAGTTCATACCCTATCACATCAGACACAGATGTTAACAGATCACTGGCAGTGGTTGGAGAATCATAGTTGATTTTACCTTCCTTGAGAATTTCAATGTCTTCGTTTTCAAATTCATATAAAAAGTCAACAAAACGTTTAAACTTTGTCAGTGGGATGTTTTCACAAGCTAACCAATGAACAGATTTCATCAAGGCGACAGCTGCTTTGTCTTGTTTTTCATACATACGTGCAGTTGCAACCTGGAAATCATCACAAAGTTTTGGAGCCTGAACGGACAGTTTATTATCATTATGATGAGATGTCTGGTCAAAGTTATATTTTAAAAATTTCTGCATTTAGCACCTTGTGTCATACCATTTTCAGTACATAGTTTACAAAATATCAAATCACCTTTCCTGTCATAAGTCAGCCATAACCGGTGAGTAATCGGCCAACCTGACTGAAATGTCCTAACTTTGTCTTTTATGACAGTATCTATCTGGGCGGCATGTGGATTGCTATATTATAAAGATAACAGCAGGGCTCTTCATGACCTTTGACAAGCAAATGTTTTCTTTTACTAGAAAAATAAAAAGGTTACTAGCCAGACCCATGTAATTTCACTGTAATATTTTGTGAATAATGTTCTACAATTCCAACCAAAGTTTTGCTTTATTTCTTCACTCTGTTCATTGATTCAAAAACAAATTACATCAAAAGAAATATGCCAACTGGAAGCCACTTTAACAAGTATGAACACAAATAGTAACTGTCTTATTATATCATAAATGTCATCATAATTATAAATGAAATGATGCATTTATATGATTACTTTTCCAGGGCTTGAGATTCAGAAACTTAAACAACAGAATGACATTCTATTTCAGCAGAACTTTAACTCTGTCAAATGTCACTTTCACTTTCAAATTACATGCAGATAGATTTAACAGTTGTTCAGCTACTGACTTCAGCTGCCTGCTTTTCTCTAATTGGTACTGAGAGCTCAGATTTTGTCTTCACACTTGGATTCAGAGTCACAATGTTCATTGACCAATCAGATTGTCTTGATAAACCTCATTTGCATATCGCTTACCTCCCTTAGCTTGTTTGTGTCTATTTATAGAGTGTAAAACTAGGTTAGTAGTTTTGTATACTTTGATATTGCCTCTCCACAAAAATAAACATTAGTGTTTCATCAAAAGCTTGCGTCCAAGGGGACGCACATGTAAAAAACATGTGAGTCCTGTCAGAATTTATTGCGTCAGAGACGCGGGACGCGGGGGTAGATTTATCCCTGCTGATCTGTTTTTTGTGGTCACCAATGTTGATCCAAATGCCATGTTCACAAATGCATAATAAACCAAAAGTTTGAGCTCAACTTTTTGACCAATCATATAAGCTAATCACTGACTTACCTTGTCTTCTCGCAGGAGTTTTCTAAGTTTTGAAAGGGCTCGTCTCCTCACATCTATATTCTCATGTTTGATGCCCTGTACTGAGTGGGCCAGCTGTGTTCCCAGGTCGGATTGACTACAATGTGACAATAACCAAGCTAGCTATTCTTGAAACATTCATAGCCCTACGAACTTCTTGAGCCCATTCTTAACACATTGGCTACGATCAAAGTTAAGAATTCTTAGTGCTACGAACTTTTCGAGAATAAGGGCCCAGGTCATTAGTTGGCTGTGATATGACACATGCAGATAGATGTAGTGTTATTTTTCCCAGAAAGAGAAGACAATGAAACCTCTTAAATTTCATATCATTCATATGAATAATCTATCAATCATTTTAGGAATTTGGAAAAAGAGACGGTCAAAAGATTTCAAAACTTCAAACTTGCTCCGATGAGTATGATTTGCAATTCATGTTATCTGTTACATCAAACAGATATTTCAAATAGCTATTGTATAATCTATCATATTTCTTTATCAATTCTATGGATTGATATTTCTTATATTAAAATAACGCCCACTATAACAGCTCACCTCGAGGGTCCATCAGCATACTGTTTCAGTACTGCATTAGCATCACTCAACTCGGGAATGTCTGGCAGGAAGTACACCTCGTGGAAGTGGTGGTGGAGGGCGGACCTGCAGCAAGAACAACATGGTCACACGCTGTTGCATCACAATAGTTTACTGTTCATTCTCATACCTCATACTTACCATATTAAGTGACTTGATGTTAGCGAATTAACATAGATCCGGGCTAGAACTGGTCTTTATTAACCCATGCTTGTCGTAAGAGGCGACTTAAGGGATCGGGTGGTTAGGCTCACTGACATGGTTGACACGTCATCGTATCCCAATTGCGAAGATCGATGCTCATTCTGTTGATCACTGGAATGTCTGGTCCAGACTCGATTATTTACAGACTGCTGCCATATAGCTGCAATATTGCTGAGTGCAGCGTAAAACTAAACTCACTCACTAATATGTGCTACCTGACCAACTTCTAGACAAATTGTAAGCATTTCTTTTTGAGAACCCTAAATCTTCAAGACCAACACATTATATGACAGTTCTTGTTTTCTTTGGTTTAATGCAGATATCAGAAGTGGAGAAGGGTTGCATAATTGCCTACTAACTATTATTGAAACCATCTCAATACCTAAACATTTGAACAGCTTGTTCTGAGAATATGGCAACAGACATGCATTTAGAACATTTTTTCTTTTCAAAGCTAACACATATTTTCCCTGTCATACTTTTTTACAAAGCAGAGAAAAACATGCTGTCACCATTATAAAGATTTATTGAAAACAGAACATGCCTGTTTTCCACAATCATGTATGTGAATATATCTGCCACTTGTTTTGGAAGGTCGTGCAGGAACGGCAGCAGTGTCGCCACAATCTGAGACAGCATCGTCCCCAGGAGGGGCAACTCTAGGCTGAAATGTTCAAACAGACATACCACAATCTGAAAAATTTAAAGTTTTCCAAACCTGCAGAGGTTTTCAATTCTTTGAAGAGAAACTACTACGATCCTTGGGGTACATATTATGCATTTTCGGCTGTAAAATGTCCAAACCTGCTGTGACAGTTGTATCAATGTTTTTTTTCCTCGAATAATGTCCCAAAGATTGTACAATAAAAGATTGTACAAACTCTTTTATTTATTATCTGGACCCTACCTCGGAGTTACCTCCCTTAAGCATGCGCACCAACTGGGTAGGCTCCTAGACCATTATCATCATTCCTTCTGCTGAATTCTCATCAGTGAACAGAATTGCGGGGAGGTGGGTGGGCCCTACCCCAAGGGCGACTCTCTTCAAAGGGTTGAAAACCTCTGCAGGTTTGGAAAATTCTTTTCAGAGAGATCGTCCTTGGAATACATATTATGCATAAACACAGACTCCCAAAGACCGGAGGCCAGGGAGGAGGGAATTCTGTCCAAGCACACACAAAATATAGCGATCATTATCATGGAAAAAAATTGAACAGGCGCCATAACACTCACCTGTCACTCGACCCAGTTTAGCTTCCTTGAGAGGCATTATGGGAGGGAACTGACAGGGAGGATTTGTGCTCAAAGGCGACCTCTAGCATAATGAGACATTGCACGTAGTGCGAATGTCAGTGAAATCCGACCCACTAAGTGGCTTCTTCGTTGAGAGCACCGTGGGGAAAACAAAATACCACTCACTAGCGATATCGTAACTCCTTAGAGAATCGAAGGGGTACAGGTTCTCTGAGTGCTTTCGTAGCAGACATGTCAATAATGGAATCATTGTACAGTAAGCGTCAACACAAACCAATAAACCAAGACTCACTTGGTCAGGGTGGCAGGACACTGTCCACTGGAAAACGATGCGACCAAAGCTTCGCCGCGATTGCGTGAATGTGTATCGAGCTGATAATGGCGATATAAAAGTGCTTGGCGGCTCCAAATAGCGGCAGAGCAGATCTCTTCAATGGGGAGTGCGCTGCAAAGAAAACTTTGATCGCGCTACTGCCCTGACCGAGTGAGCCTTCAACCCCTCAGGGGAGGCTTGCCCTTAGCCTGATAAGCGGCACAAATACCGCGAAACAAGCCAGCGAGAGACAAAGTTTGCTTGCTTTCGCTGGCAGACCAGCTTCTTCCGCCACCGTAACAACAGAACAGCTGGGTACCCGTCTGGATCCCCTGCGTTAAGTTTGATATGAACTTTGGCGTCTTACGGACATCCAGCGGGTGAGTGCTTTCGTGGAGTGGTCCCCGATGTGGAAGGCTGGGTAAGAGTAGGAAGTTCGATAGGAGCTGTCACATGGAAAGCGTGATCGACCTTCGGTCGGTAAAGTATCTGGGAGGCTTAATGCTGACCACGATCCGTGTGAAACACAGTCAGCGCCCGGGTCGGACGACATAGCATGTATATCGCCGACTCTTGACCAGATGTTACCGCCACCAGAAACACAGCTTTCCAGGTCAACAACTGAATGGAAATAGCGATAGGTGTGAGAAAGTGGGACGGACAGCCAATCGAGCATGATCGACAAATCCCAAAGGTGGACTGGTTCGCCTGAGAGCAGGTCGAATCCGTTCCGCGCCAGCTAGAAAGCGCTGTACGAGAGAGGGTGCTGCCCCAGAAGAGCACCATCGACAGGGGTGTGAAAAGTGGAAATAGCGGTGGAGTAGTCAGCGAATGGTCGAAGCCGCCAGGCCTTCTTCCAAACGAGCTTGCAAAACTCCAATACTCGGACTAAATCCGCCCAGAAAAGGGATCTGCAATCCCCTTATCTGAACACCAGCGGCGCATAAGCGGGACCACCTATCCTCGCATACTGAGCGTTTGTCGAATCCCTTCTGAAGCCAGAATTGTGTCTGCAACTGCTGCAGGAATTCCAGCGTGCCTCGAGGTTAGACCTGACAGAGGCCAAGCCACCCACTGAATCCGTGGATTTGGGTGGGCTCCGTTCTGGAGTGAGAATGTCCGGTCGCAAAGGTAATAGAACAGGAGGCTGAGCCAGAAACCTGAGAATTACCGAAACCAGCTCTGTGACGCGGCCAAAGCGGTGCCAGTAGCACAAGTAGCCGAGCTGGCTGGGTGGACAGCTGTGAAAGGACACGGGGAATGAGTGGTAATGGCGGGAACGCCCAGAGCACTTTGCCCGTCTAATCCAGCAGGAAGGCGTCGGGCAGCCAACGCCTCTGGTCCGGTATCCAGAGCAGAACATCGGTGTCTGATGCGCCCCGCAAACAGATCCACCTCGAATCGACCCGCACAACTGGGAGATTACTGTGAATATCTGCCTGTCGAAAGCATCCACTGCGTAAGGGCCAGGATCCGGGCGAGAGCCGCATCTGCTCGCGACGCTCTCCAGCCCCGAGATAAACAGGGAGTACCTGACAATCGTACTGGTCGCCCAGAGGAGAAAGTCCCACGTTCGGAGGAGCGCTGGGGACACCGTGCCTCCCTGCTTCAGGATGCAATGACATGGCCGCCTGGTTGTCTAACTGAAGACGGACTACCTGGCCACGGACATGCTCTCTGAAGCCGAATACCAACCGCACAGCTCTCAGCTCCAACACGCTGATGTGAAGCAGAGCTTCGCTTCGACCAGAGTCCGAAGCCGACAGACTGCCCAGGACGCCCCAGCCCGTGAGGGACGATTCGTCTGAACTGTGAGAGCTGGCGTCGGGATTTCCAAGGGAACCCCTGGTGAGATTCCCGACATTTGTCCACCACTGAAGGTGAGGTGTCAACCACTGGGGACTGTGAGACTCGCGCCCAGATCCTCCGTGGTGAGTCCACAGCCGAGCCAAAGCTTGCTGTATGGGGCGCATCCTCAACCGCCACCACACTACAGAGATCGTTAGCCGCCATATGGCCCAGTAGACGGAGCCAAGTCCGTGCTGGTGCCTGGGGCTGGAGAGGAATGAAGATACCATCTCCCGAACTCTGGTGACCCGGTCGGGCTTAATAAGGAAACGAGATCCTTGTTACGCTTGAATCGCGCCCAAGAAAACCAAGTCCTGGGTGGGTACCAGGTCGGATTTCTTGAGGTTGATGATCCACCCCAGTCGAGTTAGAATGTCTATCACTGTGTGAGTAGCATCTTGAACTCTGGTGACCCGGTCGGGCGACAAGGAAACGAGATCCTTGTTCGTTTGGAATCGCGCTCCAAGAAAAACCAAGTCCTGGGTGGGTACCAGGTCGATTTCTTGAGGTTGATGATCCACCCCAGTCGAAGTTAGAATGTCTATCACTGTGTGAGTAGCATCTTGACTTCGCTGGCTGTGTTAGTGCTCCGAGCAACCAGTCGTCTAGGTAAGGGTAACAACGCCTTCCTTGCGAGCGAGCTAGGGTAGCTGGGACTAACATGAGCTTGGTGAACACCCTTGGGGCAGTCGATATGCGAAGGGGAGCACCCTGAATTGGTAATACATCCCGTCAAAGAGAACCGAGGTACTGCTTGAACGAGGGATGTATGGGCACATGCAGATACGCGATCCTTTGGGTCGATTGACGTGAGCCAATCGCCGGCTGAACAGATGAGATCACCGAAGCGCAGTGTCTCCATCTTGAAGGATGGTACTTCGAGCATGTGATTCAACCCCTTGAGGTTGAGAATCGGACGGAACCATGCCGTCTTTCTTCGAGACGAGGAAGTACGTGGAGTAAAATCCCGTCCTGTTCCTCTCCCGGTGGAATGCGCCGATTGCGGACTTGTCCAGCAGAGCCTGAACTTCGTCGCGCAATATGTCCGCCCTGGCTTGACATGACGGCACCGGAGTGCGACGTATGCCGGTGAAGTCGGGCGGACCTCGCTTCCACAGTGGGAGATGGCCTATGCTGACCGTGGGCCAGCACCCAAGCGTTGTTGGTAGCCTTCTCCCATTCCGCAGGAATAGAGAGGCGGCCTCCCACTGGGATATGGGGTAGGAGCGCTGCGCGTGGACCCTAGTAGCGAGCTGACTGGGTGTGACACACGGCTTGAGCGCAGCCTGTTGGGTTAACGGGAGGTCGGGGCAGACCTCCCCGCTCGCTGAAAAGGCTGGGAGCTAGTCGAGGACTGCTCTTGCCCCTACCCTTGGCGGACCTACTCCTCCGCCTACCCCTACCAAGCGGCGGCCAGCCGGCAGACTTCGGGTGTAGGCTGCACCCGGCGGAGGAAGGTGGCACGGGAGCGCTGGGCGCGATGCCACACCAGCGGTGCTCCAACAAGGCCTTAGAATCCTTGAAGGAGGTAGCTGCAGCGGCAGCCTCCGTATGACCTGCTGTGCCCGGGAAAGAGGGTCGCTCCCAGACGGAAAGGGAGAGCCAGCAAGGTCTGCTGTGTTGCTGCCGAAAGTACCTAGACGTCGACAGCCACAGCCTGCGCATCCCCATGACTGCGCACATCACCGCCGACGGCAGCAGACCGCAAAGAGTCGCCGCCGGGTGAGCCTGAACTTCCGACAGCTGACGGAGTAGCCGCGACATCGCGGCGACATCGCCGCCAGCATGCCCCTCCGCACCAGGGCCGACCCTCTGTAGGCCTCATGGACCACCACCCGCACCTGCTGCATCAGCGTTCCCGTAGACCTCCTCCGTAGGTCCTGCACGCGTGCGCGAGGGGATCCAGCGAGGGCAAAGGTGGAGTGAGGCGCCTTGCCGAAAGCAGCGGAGCTGCTCGGAGGAAGCCGAGCCTCCCCAGGGCGACGGAAGTGAAAACACACTCGTCCAACGATCGGATACGACGAACAGGGAATCCTCCCAAGCTGGTAGCGCCAAGACGAGTTCAGGTAAGTCAAACCTGACTCGGGTACCAGACAAGAGGGGATCGACCACGCCCGCCGACCAACGATGGCAGAATCTGGAGCTGCGTCTGTGAGGGTTGCCTAGGGGCAAACGCCTTCGCCAGGCAAGCGGAACTCAGTCGAGTCCACGCTACCAGCAGGCACCGCGGCCTGGGGTAGGCCTCGGCAATTCTCTGCCGGACCTCCCGCCGAAAGGTCGAAGCAAAACGAAGCCGTCATGCTCCTCGACCTCCCCAAGCTCCATTGCCTCGGCGTCCGAGCCCGAGTCAGAGGCTGGGTCCCTCCGTAAGAGGACCCTAACCCGACCCGGTGGACTGCCCTAGCTTGGGCACCACAGGAAGGAGGAACAGACCGACTGCTCCACGCCAGCGCCAGCCGGGCGTCGTGGACCCGGTCCGAGGACGCTGGAGGCAGGCCAGGCAGAACTGGTGCCTCCGCTTCTCATAGGGGCGGGTGCGCGCGGGACGGAATACCAGGAATACTCAGCGGCCCAAGCGCAAGCTCGAGAGAGGGGACTGGGAGCACCTCCTCTCCCGAGCAGCCGAGGCGTCCGGATTCGAAGCCAGAGGCAACGGATCGACAGACGCCTTCAAGGCTGAGGGATCTAACCGGGTCGGCGATCCCACCCCAGACTCTCCAGCCCCCGTCCGAGTGGGCGAGGAACTCCTGGCGGAGACCTCCAACCGACTCCTAAGCGAAGGACTTCATTGAGTCCATCTGCTTCTGAAACATCGACTCCATTAGAGACATGTCAAAACCACTGAAGTGGTAGGAGAGGGAAGGCCACGGGATTTTTTTCCTTTTTGGACGCCCGTTTAGATTTTGGCGGGGAACCTCGCGGCCAGGTCCCTCCGCCTCCACGCATCTCAAGCGGTAAAACAGGGTGTCGGCCGCCCGCCTCTTCTGTGCCCGGGGAAAAGGCCAGACAAATTGAACATGTATCAGCCACATGGCCCGTCTTCTCCAGACAGGCCACGATTGGGAGTGACTGTCAGCCCGGGAATACTTCCCCACAGACCGAACAACAGGTAAAACCTGAAACAAACACGTAAACATGTTAGTTAACTTGTGGCCAGAAGCAGAGAAACACGTAGTGAAAACATTGAAAAAATACGTGAAGGTTACCACGAAAGTAATAGTTGGTTTTAAAACGCAATATTATGCACCACGCTGCACGCTAAACTTCCCGCCATGGCAGAGCAAACTTATGCGTAAACCACGGGAAAGTTTGGCGTGATTTTGATAGTACTTATACAAAGTCACAATTATGAAACAACCACTGTAAGGCTTTACTGTTATTGTTTTAGACAAATAAAAACCAAACATACAGGTGGTGTCTCAGACATCTTAAAATACAGCGCCGTACGGCTCATGAAAGGGAATCACAACGAACGTCTGTTCAGGGCCGTGACAGCAGAAGGAATGATGATACGGGTCTAGGAGCCTACCCAGTTGGTACGCATGCGCTAAGGGAGGTAACTCCGTGAGGTAGGGGCCGTATAATAAATAAAAGAGTTTATTTATTGTTCAATCTTTTTATTCAAAAAACATTGATACAACTGTCACAGGACATTTTACAGCCGGAAAATGCATAATATGTACCCCAAGGACGATCTCTCTGAAAAAGAATTACCTGCCCGCAAATAATTTAGGGTTGACAAGCGACGTAGTTTATCATCCAATTGGAATGCATCATTTATTTTCACGAGTGAATTAATAATGATTTAATATCCTGAAATATGATGAATATCTTCATATACATGTCTAAATTTTAACCCGACCGTCGGGTAGGTGAATTTGAGAATCTGGCAGTCCGTGCTGAAAATAACCCGTCCCGGGCGGTAGGGCAGGCAGGTATTTTAAACGCTGCTAAGATAAAGTTACATCTCATGAACCCAACTCTACTTTCACAGAGGATACTTCACCCACAATTGTAATTTGTTTAAGGCCGACACTACTTACCTTCTAACAAAGCCATTCCAGGCACGACACGATATCTCCACAAATTGTCGACCAAGTCTGAAACAGTACAAATACATCTGCATATTCCAGATATTTCCATTAATTTCATGAATAAGCCAATTAACATTCTTAATTCAATTATGAACAACATCAGATTTTGTTAAAGCTTCAAACATATTGCAAACTTATTCACAGCATCTGTGTAATGATCTTTACTTGATCAGGGATTTGCATATTCTCTGATGGAAGCAACTATTTGCCAATCAATTAAACTTGAAAGTGGCTATATGAAGTTCATAATCAACAAAAAATATTTGTGTTAAAGCTGCATACAGCATATTCCCGCTATATGGCGGCGATTCTGGAAGGAGGAGATGCTTGGCACCATACCTGAGTGTGTTCATCACTTTGTGTCTGATGGAGCTGATGTGCTTGGACCCCATCAGCTGGATAATGGCGATCAGACTCTCCATGGCCTGGGAAACAGACAGTAAGCAGGATCATTTTAGCAAAGGCTCATATCTTTCTGTCTCCATTTTCTAGGCCCATGTGCCAAGATAACGAACAGACAAATATAATAACAGAAATAAATGTAAAGCTTTTAACCTTTGATATTAGGACAATAATGTCTGTTGATGAGCATCAGCATTCGAAATATCTGCCTGCCCGGCTGCCCGGGACAGTTCATTTTCAACACAGCCTGCCAGATTTTCAAAATTCACCTGCCCGACGGTCGGGTTAAAATTTAGACATGTATATGAAGATATTTTGTGGGCAGGTAAGTTTTGGTCAGGACTGGCAAATTTTACATCTAACCAGCCCTGTGGTCTGGCTGAGTTGTTTGGGAGTTTCATACCCTGATGAGCATGACAGTTATTTGACAGTATTTTAAAGAATATCTTTTAAAAAAGATATATCTGCAAATCGATAGATAAATAAGAAGTTGAGTCATAAAATCTTGCTTAATTTTTCCAATGTCCCTGCAAATTACTTTTTTCTTTGCTTTCATTGTTCATTTGAAGAGTTACACTGCAGTCCTCACTATTCATACAAAATCACAGAACACTTAAAATATTAAAGTTGGACCTGACAAAGCAGTGATTCGACTGAGCCAAGTCCAACAACATCAGGGTATGATGAGAAGCAAGTAATGATGAGAATGCAGTAATCATGTACATCCTGTATATTCACCAAGCCAAACCACATACATGTCACCTCTTACAAGCACATATGACAGGGGAGCTAACCCAGAATTCCAACAAGTACTGACATGTAACACTGTAAGATGGGGAATGAACTACTGAGATACTTCTCACCAGCTGCTTGTCCTCCATGGGAGTGTTGGGGTTGACCAGCTGGTAGTCGAAGGATGCGAGGACGCCAAGCAAACGAGGCTCGAGATAGTCTGCCTATGATGGAGGAGAAAATTTTCCAAACCTGCAGAGGTTTTCAATTCTTTGAAGAGAGTCGTCCTTGGGGTACATATTATGCATTTTCCGGCTGTAAAATGTCCTGTGACAGTTGTATCAATGTTTTTTGAATAAAAAGATTGTACAATAAATAAACTCTTTTACTTATTATACGGACCCTACCTCACGGAGTTACCTCCCTTAACGCATGCGCACCAACTGGGTAGGCTCCTAGACCCGTATCATCATTCCTTCTGCTGAATTCTCATCAGTGAACAGAATTGCGGGGAGGTGGGGTGGGTCTACCCCAGGACGACTCTCTTCAAAGAATTGAAAACCTCTGCAGGTTTGGAAAATTCTTTTCAGAGAGATCGATCCTTGGGGTACATATTATGCATAAACACAGACTCCCAAAGACCGGAGGCCAGGGAGGAGGGAATTCTGTCCAAGCACACACAAAATATAGCGATCGTATCATGGAAAAATTGAACAGACGCCATAACACTCACCTGTCACTTTCGACCCAGTTTAGCTTCCGAGAGGCATTATGGGAGGGGAACTGACAGGGAGGATTTGTGCTCAAAGATCGACCTCTAGCATAATGAGACATTGCACGAGTCGCTTAATGTCAGTGAAATCCGACCCACTAAGTGGCTTCTTCGTGAGAGCACCGTGGGGAAAACAAAATACCACTCACTAACGATATCGTAACTCCTTAGAGAATCGAAGGGGGTACAGGTTCTCTGAGTGCTCGTAGCAGACATGTCAATAATGGAATCATTGTACAGCAGCGTCAACACAAACCAATAAACCAAGACTCACTTGGTCAGGGTGGCAGGACACTGTCCACTGGAAAGCACGGTACGACCAAAGCTCGCGACGATTAGCGTGAATGTGTATCGAGCTGATAATGGCGTATAAAAGTGCTTGGCCGGCTCCAAATAGCGGCAGAGCAGATCTCTTCAATGGGGAGTGCGGCTGCAAAAGCTTTGATGCGGCTACTGCCCTGACCGAGTGAGCCTTCAACCCCTCAGGGGAGGCTTGCCCTTAGCCTGATAAGCGGCACAAATACACGAAACAAAGCCAGCGAGACAAAGTTTGCTTGCTTTCGCTGGCAGACCAGCCTTCCGCCACCGTAACAACAGAACAGCTGGGTACCGATACGGATCCCCTGCGTTAGTTTGATATAGACTTTGGCGTCTTACGGACATCCAACGGGTGAGTGCTCGTGGAGTGGTCCCCGATGTGGAAGGCTGGGTAAAGAGTAGGAAGTTCGATAGGAGCTGTCACATGGAAAGCGTGATCGACGACCTTCGGTCGGTAAGTATCTGGGAGGCGAATGCTGACACGATCCGTGTGAAACACAGTCAGCGCCGGGTCGGACGACATAGCATGTATATCGCCGACTCTTCGACCAGATGTTACCGCCACCAGAAACACAGCTTTCCAGGTCAACAACTGAATGGAAATAGCCGATAGGTGTGAGAAAGTGGGACCGGACAGCCAATCGAGCACGATCGACAAATCCCAAGGTGGACTGGTTCGCCTGAGAGCAGGTCGAATCCGTTCCGCGCCAGCTAGCTGTATGCCAGACGAGAGGGTGCTGCCCAGAAGAGCACCATCGACAGGGGTGTGAAAAGTGGAAATAGCGGTGGAGTAGCCAGCGAATGGTCGAAGCCGCCAGGCCTTCTTCCAAACGAGCTTGCAAAAACTCCAATACTCGGACTAAATCCGCAGAAAAGGGATCTGCAATGCCCCTATCTGAACACCAGCGCGCATAGCGGGACCACCTATCCTCATACTGAACGTTTGTCGAATCCCTACCGAAGCCAGAATTGTGTCTGCAACTGCTGCAGGAATTCCAGCGTGCCTCGAGGTTAGACCTGACAGAGGCCAAGCCACCCACTGAATCCGTGGATTTGGGTGGGCCCGCTTCTGAGTGAGAATGTCCGGTCGCAAAGGTAATAGAACAGGAGGCTGAGCCAGAAACCTGAAATTACCGAAACCAGCTCTGTGACGGCCAAAGCGTGCCAGTAGCACAAGTAGCCGAGCTGGCTGGGTGGACAGCTGTGAAAGGACACGGGGAATGAGTGGTAACGGCGGAACGCCCAGAGCACTTTGCCCGTCCAATCCAGCAGGAAGGCGCCGGCAGCCAACGCCTTCTGGTCCGGTATCCGAGAGCAGAACATCGGGTGTCTGATGCGTCCCGCCGGACGCAAAAACAGATCCACCTCGAACGACCCGCACAACTGGGGAGATTACTGTGAATATCTGCCTGTCGAGCATCCACTTGTCGCGGGGCCAGGATCCGGCGAGAGCGCATCTGCTCGCGACGTTCTCCAGCCCCGGAGATAAACAGGGAGTACCTGACAATCGTACTGGTCGCTCCAGAGGAGAAAGTCCCACGCCCGGAGGAGCGCTGGGGACACCGATGCCTCCCTGCTTCAGGATGTACGACATGGCCGTCTGGTTGTCTAACTGAAGACGGACTACCTGGCCACGGACATGCTCTCTGAAGCGCCAATACCAACCGCACAGCTCTCAGCTCCAACACGTTGATGTGAAGGTGAGCTTCGCTTCGACCAGAGTCCGGAAGCCGACAGACTGCCCAGAACGCCCCCAGCCCGTGAGGGACGATCGGTCTGAACTGTGAGAGCTGGCGCCGGGATTTCCAAGGGGAACCCCTGGTGAGATTCCCGACATTTGTCCACCACTGAAGGTGAGGTGTCAACCACTTTCGGGGACTGTGAGACTGCGCTCCAGATCCTCCGTGTGAGTCCACAGCCCAGCCAAAGCTTGCTGTATGGGGCGATCCTCAACCGCGCCCGCCACACTACAGAGATCGTCGCCGCCATATGGCCCAGTAGACGGAGCCAAGTCCGTGCTGGTGCCTGGGGCTGGGGAGAGGAATGAAGATACCATCTCCTAACTCTGGTGACCCGGGTCGGGCGACAAAGGAAACGAGATCCTTGTTCGTTTGGAATCGCTCCAAGAAAAACCAAGTCCTGGGTGGGTACCAGGTCGGATTTCTTGAGGTTGATGATCCACCCCAGTCGAAGTTAGAATGTCTATCACTGTGTGAGTAGCATCTTGACTGGCTGGCTGTGTTAGTGCTCCGAGCAACCAGTCGCCTAGGTAAGGGTAACAACGCCTTCCTTGCGAAAGCGAGCTAGGGTAGCTGGGACTAACATGAGCTTGGTGAACACCCTTGGGGCAGTCGATATGCGAAGGGGAGCACCCTGAATTGGTAATACATCCCGTCGTGAAGAGAACCGGAGGTACTGCTTGAACGAGGGATGTATGGGTACATGCAGATATCGCGATCCTTTAGGTCGATTGGCGTGAGCCAATCGCCGGGCTGAACAGATGAGATCACCGAGCGCAGTGTCTCCATCTTGAAGGATGGTACTTCGAGCATGCGATTCAACCCCTTGAGGTTGAGAATCGGACGGAACCCGCCCGTCTTTCTTCGACGAGGAAGTACGTGGAGTAAAATCCGCCTGTTCCTCTCCGGTGGAATGCGCGCCGATTGCGGACTTGTCCAGCAGAGCCTGAACTTCGCCGCGCAATATGTCCGCCCTGGCTTGGCATGACGGGCACGGAGTCGTCGTTATGCGGTGAAGTCGGGGCGGACCTCGCTTCCACAGTGGGAGATGGCCTATGCTGACCGTGGCCAGCACCCAGCGTTGTTGGTAGCCTTCTCCCATTCCGGCAGGAATAGAGAGAGCGGCCTCCCACTGGGATATGGGGTAGGAGCGCGGCGTGGACCCTAGTAGCGAGCTGACTGGGTGTGACACACGGCTTGAGCGGCAGCCTGTTGGGTTAACGGGAGGTCGGGCAGACCTCCCGCGCCCGCCGGGCAAAGGCTGGGAGCTAGTCGAGGACTGCTCCTTGCCCCTACCCTTGGCGGACCTACTCCTCCGCCTACCCTACCAAGCGGCAGCCAGCCGCAGACTCGGTGTAGGCTGCACCGGGCGGCGGAAGGTGGCACGGAGCTGGGGCTTGAGACACCGCTGGTGCTCCAACAAGGCCTTAGAATCCTTGAAGGAGGTAGCTGCAGCGGCAGCCTCCCCGTATGACCTGCTGTGCCCGGAAGAGGGTCGCTCCCAGACGGAAAGGGAGAGCCAGCAAGGTCTGCTGTGTTGCTGCCGAAAGTACCTGAGACGCCGACAGCCACAGCCTGCGCATCCCCATGACTGCGCACATCACCGCCGACGCAGCAGACCGCGAAAGAGTCGCGGCGGTGAGCCTGAACTTCCGACAGCTGACGGAGTAGCACGACATCGCGGCGACATCGCCGCCAGCATGCCCCTCCGCCTCAGGGCCGACCTTTGTATCGAGGAGAGGTAGGCCTCATGGACCACCACCGCACACCTGCTGCATCGCGTTCCGGTAGACCTCCTCGTAGGGTCCGGGCAGCGTGCGCGAGGGGATGCCAGGGCAAAGGTGGAGTGAGGCGCCTTGCCGAGCAGCCGGAGCTGCTCGAGAGGAAGCCGAGCCTCCCCAGGGCCGCACGGAAGTGAAAACACACTGGCCCACGATCGGGTAATGATTTAACAGGGAATCCTCCCAAGCTGGTAGCCACGACGAGTTCAGGTAAGTCAAACCTGACTCGGGTACCAGACAAGAGGGATCGACCACGTCCCGGCGACCAACGATGGCAGAATGCGGAGCTGCGTCTGTGAGGGTTGCCTAGGGGCAAACGCCTCACCAGGCAAGCGGAACTCAGTCGAGTCCACGCAACCAGCAGGCACCGCGGCCTGGGGTAGGCCCTCGGCAATTCTCTGCCGGACCTCCCGCAAGGCCGAAGCAAAACGGAAGCTGCCGTCATGCTCCTCGACCTCCCGAGCTCCCATTGCCTCGGCGTCCGAGCCGAGTCAGAGGCTGGGTCTCCCAGTGAAGAGGACCCTAACCCCGACCCGGTGGACTGCCTAGCTGGGCACCACAGGAAGGGAGGAACAGACCGACTGCTCCATCGCCAGCCCAGCCGGCGCGTGGTGGACCCCGGTCCAGACGCGCAGGAGGCAGGCCAGGCAGAACTGGTGCCTCCGCTCTCATGGGGCGGGTGTGCGCAGGGACCGGAATACCAGGAATACTCAACGGCCTGCGCCAAGCTCGAGAGGGGACTGGGAGCACCTCCTCTCGAGCAGCCGAGGCGTCCGGATCCGAAGCCAGAGGCAACGGATCGACAGACGCCTCAAGGCTGAGGGATCTAGCCGAGGCCGGCGATCCCACCCCCGGACTCTCCGCCCCCCGTCCGGAGTGGGCGAGGAACTCCTGGCGGAGACCTCCAACCGACTCCCGAACGAAGGACTTCATTGAGTCCATCTGCTTCTGAAACATCGACTCCATTAGAGACATGTCAAAACCACTCGAAGTGGTAGGAGAGGGGGAAGGGCCACGGGATTTTTTTCCTTTTGGGCGCCCGTTTAGATTTTGACGGGGAACCTGCGTCAGGTCCCTCCGCCTCCGCGATCTCGGCGGTAAAACAGGGTGTCGGCCACCCGCCTCTTCTGTGCCCGGGAAAAGGCCAGACAAATTGAACATGTATCAGCCACATGGCCCGTCTTCTCCAGACAGGCCACGATTGGGAGTGACTGTCAGCCCGGGAATACTTCCCCACAGACCGAACAACAGGTAAAAGCCTGAAACAAACACGTAAACATGTTAGTTAACTTGTGGCCAGAAGCAGAGAAACACGTGAGAAAACATTGAAAAATACGTGAAGGTTACCACGGAAGTAATAGTTGGTTTTAAAGCGCAATAATGCGACCACGCTGCACGCTAAACTTCCCGCCATGGCAGAGCAACTTGCGTGAAACCACGGGAAAGTTTATGTATTTCGATAGTACTTATACAAAGTCACAATTATGAAACAACCACTGTAAGGCTTTACTGTTATTGTGTTAGACAAATAAAAACCAAACATACAGGTGGTGTCTCAGACATCTTAAAATACAGCGCCGTACGGCTCATGAAAGGTAATCACAACGAACGTCTGTTCAGGGCCGTGACAGCAGAAGGAATGATGATACGGGTCTAGGAGCCTACCCAGTTGGTGCGCATGCGCTAAGGGAGGTAACTCCGTGAGGTAGGGTCCGTATAATAAGTAAAAGAGTTTATTTATTGTACAATCTTTTTATTCAAAAAACATTGATACAACTGTCACAGGACATTTTACAGCCGGAAAATGCATAATATGTACCCCAAGGACGATCTCTCTGAAAAAGAATGGTCAGTTTCACGTCAGTCTGTGCAATGTCACTATGAGTAAAGCAAGCCCCTCCAGCTCAACATTGTAATGTGGGTTAGTGAACTATGGGACATCAGGTGTTACATGTATATTCCTAGGCTTTCTTACATCACAGTATTTCAACACAAACATCAAGTTTTGTGTCCTCCTTTGTGTAGATCACTGAATTGTCAGGCACATACATAAAGTTCCATGATATCAGTTAACTATTTGAACAAAACTCTTTGCTCCGATTAATTTCTGGAAACATATCAACAAAGAAAATATTTCAGTAAAAGTGGAACAGCACCAAAAGAACAGCCTGGTCTTTGTGTGGTGTTCTACAGCTCAAAGTGACAGCTTACACCCATGAGACTTATGCTTTCTTTACTGTTTATAGGGAACCTTGGTATATCCAGCTATACAATATATTCCAGAGTATTTTGAGTAACAATACATGCTCTCACGGCTCACAAATCACACAAGCCAACAGTAAACAACATAGTTTTTTTAGGACCAATTCTAACCCAGCATCCCTACGAAGCACAAGCCTTCTACAGGTATTCGCTAAGACCAGCTCCTACCATTTGTTCCGGTGTGGTGATGTCCTTCGGTCCTTGGTAATGACCGTCGTAAGATGACAGGGTCCTCAGACCATTGAATACCTGGAAGGTGGGATGTCAATGTCAAACCTGACAAACACTATATTGTCAAAACAATTCATTATGACATAAAGACACAAACAAAGCCATATGTATTTCAAATATCAAAAGTACCAATGCCTTCCATTACTTTGGCCAAAAATACATGCTAAGAGGATTTGTATCAATTAAAAACATTTGAATATGGGCATTTTGGACCTCAATTCATAACATGCTGAAGATACATTTTCCTCCAGACGTTTAACATACAGTCAAGATTATGTCTGTGTTCTTATATATTGCAAAAGCAAGTTGGGATTAACATCACTTTGAATTGTGTTTCAGTTGTATTTAAGAAAGCCCAAAATGGTGGTGGTCTTAGATGTTTAGCACGTTCATGAAACCCATGAACACTGGTACGGTTTTCACACAGTAATACAATCAGCTCAAAACAGGATTTGAACCCTTGATAATCAGTTTCTCTACACACCAAGGGGGGCCACCAGTTACTGCTCCCAATACTAACAATGGTGTCTGTCTCCTAACAATGACATTGTCATATTTCATATTGACTGACTGACTGAGTTTAGTTTTACGCCGCTTTTAGCAATATTCCAGCAATATCACGGCAGGGGGACACCAGAAATGGGCTTCACACATTGTGCCCATGTGGGGAATCGAACCCGGGTCTTCGGCGTGACGAGCCAACGCTTTAACCACTAGGCTACCCCGCCGCCCTTTTTCATATTGATCTGATATCTATGTCATACCTGTTGGTAGTTGGAGCTGAGATGAAGCAGGAGCTCGTTGTGAAGCCGCTGGAAATCGAGGCGGATCAGCTTGCCCAGGTCCATGTTGGCCTCACTCTGTGTGAAACATGAAGTCATAAGCAACATATTCAATCTTCATCAAGTCACCCTTAACTGGCCCACATTCATCGTTCAGTTAACACCATACTCAACCACTCGCAGCTCATTCAACATCTATACCCCATTCTCAGTCAATCATTTCAGTCTTATAGATTAAGCTGATTTCTGTGGTCCAGGGTGTCCTTTCACGAAGCAACCTTTACTAAGGTTAACTTTAACTCCCATTCTTAGTGCTTTGTGAAAGGAGGCCAAGGAGGTTTTCCACTCAAGTTCAGTGTTTAGTAATGGAATCTTTGGACCCTTAAATATGTACAATCAACATTAAGGCTATGTCAAGGACTTTCGTGGTTTATGTTGAGCCCAAGAGCTAATATCAGTATTCATCAAGATATGTGCAATCTCTATGATTTCTGAGATAAAAGTAATTGTAGCATGTGAATGATAAGGCTATTCTCCGAAAAAAGAAGGATCTCTGTGAACAGGTTTGAACAAGATCAAATTGTTTCTTGTCAAATGATGTCTGTACCCACCTGTAGAAATGTCAGAGCTTTCTCCAGCTCAGCGGCCTGGCAAAGTCTGACCAGATAGGAGAAGATGTACTTCATGTTGTGCACGAGGAGCAGACGTCGTGTCTGGAACGTAAGGGTAATGTCCTTTAGATGCAAGACAGATCTGACGGAAAGGACACACTATAACCAATTACAAGACAAGACAAGATAGCTGTCACTGCAAGTTTCACCGATCTCTTACATTTATATTCAGGAGTGTGGAGATCATCTTCAGGAGGTTTGAGGCGACTGGAGTGGCCTTACTCACAAGGAATGGGACGATGTGCTTCTCAGACCCCTGAAACCATGGCAACAGACTGTTTAACACATTCTGACACTGTCATTTATCTGGACAAAAATACCAACTTGTCTAATTTATCTAGAAAACAATTTCGGATCAATTACTTCAGCAGAGTGATGAAACAGGTGTTATGCTGTTATTGCCAACATTTCATGACACCAGAGATATTCCATGGTTAATTCTGTAAGTACATACCACATGTTTAAAACAGACACAAATTGAACACAATGAATACTTTTAATGACAAGTGAAAAGTATCAAACTTGTAAACAAATATCTGAATTGAAATTTTTTATTCAGTGTCACAAATCAAAAGTTATTCGTTATGATGCTATGGTTGTTATCGCTGCTGCAGTAAAACACTGTTAAAGTACTACCGGTCTGAGTTGTCTGCCCAACACTTTGCAGAGTTATCTTCCCGATTGTTATGCTGAACAAATGGCTACCTGCAGGAAGGTCTTGACGTCCTGGTACTTGAGAGCCCTTGCCACCTTGTGTAGTATAATCTCTGGGGTGTTATCCCCGCTTCCTGTGGCTGCATCATGCATGGCTTCCACCAGAAACTGAGAAGGAAAACAACTTTTTGTTTAGAATAAGACAAACTTGTGTACAAGTGTACATAAAACTCAAAAAGACAAGATCAGCTACAGTCACATTAAAATACGGCCTTGTTTTTATGGATTACTTTTCAAAATCACAGGGGTCAGTGATAGGAAAGAAAATTAACACTAATGGCTTTTTCAGGTCTTTAATAGCCAATGGGTGTTAATACATTTCAAGGCTTCCACTTGACACTTTATGAGACAATGAGGGAGCAAAGACGTAGCCCATGTGTGATTATCCATCAGTCCAGGGTGGGATGGAGTAGGTGACACACAGCTCTGGGCGACAACATCCAAATGCATGACGAGACTTTGTAACTTGCTGTTGGAATATGTACTAGGCTGTATCAACAACCCACAATCATCCTGATTATACAACTGACTGACTGAGTTTGGTTTTAAGCCGCTTTTAGCAATATTCCAGCAACATCATGGCGGGGGACACCAGAAATGGTCCTGATTATACAAGGCAGTGACAGGAAAACCATACATCAGGACACGAACATTTCTCAAAGTACGAGTATCTGAAACTGAATCCTGCGGCTGACATGTTTAGACCACTAAACATCAAGACCCTTTGAGAATTATACTGAGACTAAAATGGCACCTTTCAGGACAGGTGAGCTACAAAAATGCCTTAACATCTTCATATCATCCACTTATACCTTGCATATGCCTTGTCGGAACTTGCTTAAAAGGTTCTGGGTGCTCATCTTCTTATGATCAGCAATAGCATGTAACTGAAACACAAATAATGTGAACATAAAAACGTTAGTTTGTATCATAAGTTCTAGGTATACCATGGGTAATACGATTTTATTTGTAGATATTTCCTGAAGGCATAACATAATAACTGCATGTTTATATTTCAGATTTAGATGCAATGTTGCCAGGTGAACTCCAGATGTTAAAATGACATCAAAGTGACTGTCAATATACTTTATTCCATGTCTTGTTGTAGGAGCTTGACCTGCAGAGATTACAATGAGTGAGTGAGTTATTATTTAACGTCACATCGGCAATATTGCAGCCATATCGTGACGATCAGAGATTACAGAGATCTGGACATTGACTGTTGCCATGACGCAGGGTATATAGAGATTACTAAACGAGTGGCTGTCAGATACCATTTATCTTTCGCGAGTTAAATACGTTTTGAAACAAGTTGTAAGATAAATGGTATCTGACAGACACGAGTACAGTAATCTGTTTCTTACACACCATAAAATCGCACCATTTTATGGTCGAATAGATTCAAATTTCATGTTTTCTCATCGTCGCTGTGCGCAATAATACACAACAACGTTTATGAATGAGTGACGTCACTTGGCTTCCTAATCACTACTCATCCCCATGGTGACCCTCCACAAAAAGGTTTCTGCCACCTCTTCGCATCATCAAGGCAATGGTGATAATGTTAACTAGATAAGATCACAGAAATTAATTAAACCCTCTAAAACGATTATGTTACATGCAAATGTGGATGATTTTAATTCTTGCAAGCGTAAAATATTTGAGCGAGTGACGTCATCGTTATCGCTTGGTGGTTGTCGCCAACGGAAGATTGTTTTGATATCTCTGCACATTGGGGATCTGTACTTGTGTACCAGTTTACGCCGCTCAATGTTCTCCCATCTTTTGAGTGTGTGAAATTAGGTGCACCCAGTGTGAAGCTTAAATGTGACATTGCTGAGGTTACGCCTTCACTATCAATGGGGACTACTCTTCTTCGCCACATCCTTCTCGTTTTCCTCGAGCCAGAAACTGCCACTTGGAATGTAATGGAATTTACAGAGTTTTCAGTATGAATTGTGAAATGATTACATCCTGTAAGTTATCAAGAAATAAACTTTTCATTATCATGCTTCGGAGGAATATCTTGAGCAATGACTTATGTGTAGATCAACCGTTCCTGTACATGTTCGATTGAATAGAAAGGACGTGCGCCATTTGCACTCATGAGGCCTTGCAAACGCACTACATGTCGTCGTGACATTGTTTCAACGAGTGTGTTTTGGTTCTGATTGTCATGAGTGAATTTGATAACATTGGAATCACATAGTATCTCGGAGCTGGAAGTGGGTCTTCATCATGTGTATCAGTGAAAAATGTCATCTTCATCAATGCATCAAGAAACAACGAGTCAAATCGATCTCACAATGGACAGGCACTGATGTTATCGTGTCAGGTATTTTTGCAAGGCGACACATGACACTTGTCGCATCTCTCCAGTAAAAGTACCAGTGTTGTACATTTTGAATATTCAAGGAATCAAGGGCTTTATCTCTAACGGTGAGTTTCACATAATTGTTTACACAGGTATCACTGATTGTTGGAGCTATTTTGAATTCATGACTAGGAATCAAAAGTTTTAATAAAAGGAATTAGAAATAAATAGATTCGTGTTATATTTATTTTACTTGTGACTCATTGTATAAATACCTGTTTATGTTGCAATCGCGAAAACAACAGGTAGGTGTAAAGGGATATATTTGCAAGAGTAACAGGTTTCTGTTCGATTGAAGCACGAGTAACTTATCAATGAATTTTAATCAGGAAAGTAGTCCGTCATAACCTGACCCTAGGTCATCACCATGGAGTAGCCAATCAGGCGATTAGAAATCGATCTCACACATATGTGTGATACCAGTTTTCTCACATGGGTTTCTCACCTACGGGTGTGTAAGAAACTTATATCAGTGTGAGCACATGTCTCACCTCGTGGTAGGCAGTGGCAGCAGTGAGTGGAATGGCGGACAGCAGGCTCTCCAGCAAGCTCACCAGCACCACCAGGAGGATGTCCTTCTCTGCGACTCTGAGAAACAGAGAGGACGTTGAGAACATTCAGTTCTTGTGAACTTGTAACATTAATACGCAGTTCTACTTCAAAGGGTGGGCTTTTCAAGAAATTATTTACTATCTGTTGATAAAAAATTATTGATCTTTTATAGAAGTCTCTCATCTAAAGACAAAGAAAAGATTGTTCTACAAAATAATATAATCAGACAAGAATGTTTTTATGCAAAAAATCTCCTGATGCACGAAAGGACAGACAATATTTTCAAAATAACTTGTAAATAGTTCCTAATGTACAAATCCAGCTAAGGCCAAAGATAAATGTGACCCGAAAGTAACAATGTTTCCATAATCCAGTAGGGTATTTGCAGACTCAGTGACCTTCACACCTGATCAAAAACTTAACCAAACCTGCAGAGGTTTTCAATTCTTTGAAGAGAGTGCAGATCCTTGGGGTACATATTATGCATTTTCCGGCTGAAAAATGTCCTGTGACAGTTGTATCAATGTTTTTGAATAAAAGATTGAACAATAAATAAACTCTTTTATTTATTATCTGGCCCCTACCTCCGCGAGTTACCTCCCTTAAGCATCTTTCAACTGGGTAGGCTCCTAGACCCATTATCATCATTCCTTCTGCTGAATATATCAGTGAACAGAATTGCGGGGGAGGGAGGCCCTACCCAAGGGCGACTCTCTTCAAAAGAATTGAAAACCTCTGCAGGTTTGGTTAATTCTTTTCAGAGAGATCGTCCTTGGAATTACATATTATCACATAAACACAGACTCCCAAGAGACCGGAGGCCAGGGGAGGAGGAATTCTGTCAAGCACACACAAAATATAGCGATCATTATCATGGAAAAAAATTGAACAGGCAGCCATAACACTCACCTGTCACTTGTCCCAGTTTAGCTTCCTTGAGAGGCATTATGGGAGGAACTGACAGGGAGGAATTGTGCTCAAAGAGCGACCTCACTAGCATAATGAGACATTGCACGTAGTGCGAATGTCAATGAATCCCCACCCACTAAGTGGCTTTTACATAAGAGCACCGTGGGGGAAAGCAAAATACCACTCACTAGCGATATAGTAACTCCGTGAGAAGAATCGAAGGGGTACAGGTTCTCTGAGTGAGCACACAGTAGCAGACATGTCAATAATGGAATTATTGTACAGTAAGCGTCAAAACAAACCAATAAACCAAGACTCACTTTCGGTCAGGGTGGCAGGACACTGTCCACTGGAGAGAACAATCGACCAAAGCTTCGCGCGATTCACGGAATGCGTGTCGAGCTGATAATGGCGTATAAGCGTGCTTGGCGGCTCCAAATGGCGGCCCGGAGCAGATCTCTTCAATGGGGAGTGCCGATGCAAAAGCTTTTGGTGGCTACTGCCCTGACCGAGTGAGCCTTCAACCCCTCAGGGGAGGCTTGCCCTTAGCCTGATAAAGCGGCACAAATACGCGAGACTAGCCAGCGAGACAAAGTCTGCTTGCTGGCTGGCGAACCAGCCTTCCATACCGTAACAACAGAACAGCTGGGTACCATACGGATTCCCTGCGTTAGTTTTGATATAGACTTTGGCGTCTTCACGGACATCAGCGGGTGAGTGCTGCGTAGGAGTGGTCCCGATGTGGAAGGCTGGGTAAGAGTAGGAAGTTCGATAGAGCTGTCACATGGAAGCGTGTCGACCTTGACGATGATCGGTAAAGTATCTGGGAAGCGAATACTGGCCACGATCGTGTGAAACACACAGTCAGCGCCCGAGTCGGACTGACATAGCATGTAAATCGCCGACCCTCGACCAGATGTTACCGCCACCAGAAAAACAGCTTTCCAGGTCAACAACTGAATGGAAATAGCCGATAGGTGTGAAAAGTGGGACCGGACAGCCAATGGCGAGCGATCGACAAATCCCAAAGGTGGACTGGTTAAGCCTGAGAGCAGGTCGAATCCGTTCCGCCGCCAGCTGCGCTGCTGAGGGTGCTGCCCCAGAAGAGCACCATCGACAGGGGTGTGAAAAGTGGAAATAGCGGTGGAGTAGCGAGCTGAATGGTAAACCGCCAGGCCTTCTTCCAAAGCGAGCTTGCAAAACTCAATACCGGACTAAATCCGCCAGAAAGGGATCTGCAATCCCCTATCTGAACACCAGCGGCGCATAGCGGGACCACCTATCCTGCATACTGAGCGTTTGCCGAATCCGCCTCGAAGCCAGAATTGTGTCTGCAACTGCTGCAGGAATTCCGGCGTGCCTCGAGGTTAGACCTGACAGAGGCCAAGCCACCCACTGAATCCGTGGATTTGGGTGGGAAGCTCCGTTCTGAGTGAAAATGTCGGTCGCCAAAGGTAATAGAACAGGAGGCTGAGCCAGAAACCTGAAAATTACGGAAACCAGCTCTGTGGCGGTAGCGGTGCCAGTAGCACAAGTAGCCGAGCTGGCTGGAGTGGACAGCTGTGAAAGGACCACGGGGAATGAGTGGTAGCGGTGAGGCATGCAGCAGAGCACTTTGCCCGTCAATCCAGCAGGAAGGCGTCGGCGTAGCGCCCTGGGTCCGGTATCCGAGAGCAGAACGAGGGTGTCTGATGCGTCCGCCCGGGCATAAACAGATCCACCTCGAGCGACCGATACAACTGGGAGATTACTGTGAATATCTGCCTGTCGAGCATCCCGCTCGTGCGGGGCCAGGATCCGGCGAGAGCGCATCTGCTCGCCGTTTCTCCAGCCCGGGAGATAAACAGGGGTACCTGACAATCGTACTGAGTGCGCACCAGAGGAAAGTCCCACGCTTCCCGGGCGCTGGGGAGGACACCGTGCCTCCCTGCTTCAGGATATGCGACATGGCGTCTGGTTGTCTAACTGAAGGCGGACTACCTGGCCACGGACATGCTCTCTGAAGCGCTTTCGAATACCAACCGCACAGCTCTCAGTTCCAACTGCGTTGATGTGAAGGTGGAAGCCGGCCCGGACCAGAGTCCGGAAGCCGACGAACTGCCAGAACACCCCAGCCTGTGAGGGGCACATCGGTCTGAACTGCTGAGAGCTGGCGTCGGGATTTCAAGGGGAACCCCTGGTGAGATTCCGACATTTGTCCACCACTGAAGGTGAGGTGTCAACCACTTTCGGGGACTGTGAGACTGCGCTCCAGATCCTCCGTGTGAGTCCACAACCGAGCCAAAGCTTGCTGTATGGGGCGCATCCTCAACGGCGCCCGCCACACTACAGAGATCAATTAAGCCGCCATATGGCCCAGTAAGCGGAGCCAAGTCCGTGCTGGTGCCTGGGGCTGGGAGAGGAATGAAGATACCATCTCCCGAACTCTGGTGACCCGGTCGGGCGACAAAGGAAGCGAGATCCTTGTTACGTTTGGAATCGCGGCTCCAAGAAAAACCAAGTCCTGGGTGGGTACCAGGTCGGTTCTTGAGGTTGATGATCCACCCCAGTCGAGTTAGAATGTCTATCACTGTGTGAGTAGCATCTTGACTTCGCTGGCTGTGTTAGTGCTCCGAGCAACCAGTCGTCTAGGTAAGGGTAACAACGCCTTCCTTGCGGCGAGCTAGGGTAGCTGGGACTAACATGAGCTTGGTGAACACCCTTGGGGCAGTCGATATGCCGAAGGGAGCACCCTGAATTGGTAATACATCCGTCGTAAAGAGAACCGAAGGTACTGCTTGAGCGATGGATGTATGGGTACATCGAATCGCATCCTTTAGGTCGATTGGCGTGAGCCAATGCGGGCTGAACAGATGAGATCACCGGCGCCAGTGTCTCCATCTTGAAGGATGGTACTTGAGCATCGCGATTCAACCCTTGAGGTTGAGAATCGGACGGAACCGCCGTCTTTCTTCGGGACGAGGAAGTGCGTGGAATAAAATCCCGCCTGTTCCTCTCCCGGTGGAATGCGCTTCGATTGCGGACTTGTCCAGCAGAGCCTGAACCGTCGCGCAATATGTCGCCCTGGCTTGACATGGCGGCACGGAGTCACGGCGTATGCGGGTGAAGTCGGGCGGACCTGCGCTTCCACAGTGGGAGATGGCCTATGCTGACCGTGGCCAGCACCCAAAGCGTTGTTGGTAGCCTTCTCCCATTCCGGCAGGAATAGAGGCGACCTCCCACTGGGATATGGGGTAGGGCGGCGTGTAGACCCGGTAAGCGGAGCTGACTGGGCGTGACACCGGCGGCTTGGCCCGGCAACCTGATGGGTTAACGGGAGGTGGGGCAGACCTCCAGCCCAGCAGGCTGGGAGCTGGTCGAGGACTGCTCCTTGCCCCTACCCTTAAGCCGGACCTGTTCCTCCGCCTACCTACCAGCGGCGAAGCCAGCCGGCAGACTTCGGGTGTAGGCTGCACCCGGCGGAGGAAGGTGGCGGGAGGCCGGGCGAGACACCGGGTGCTCCAACAAGGCCTTAGAGTCCTTGAAGGAGGTAGCTGCAGCGGCAGCCTCCCGTATGACCTGCTGGGCCCCTGGAAAGAGGTGGCTCCCAGGCGGAAGGGAGGGCCAGCAAGGTCTGCTGTGTTGCTGCCGAGTACCTGGGCGTCGACAGCCACAGCCTCGCATCCCCATGACTGCGCACATCACCGTCGGCGCAGCAGACCGCCAAAGAGTCAGCGAGGTGAGCCTGCACTTCCAGCTGGCCGGAGCAGCGACATGCGGCGACCGTAGCCAGCATGCCCCTCCGCCTCCAGGGCCGACCTCTGAACCGAGGAGAGGTAGGCCTCATGGACCACCACCGCACCTGCTGCATGCGTTCGGTAGACCTCCTGCGTGGGTCGATGCAGCGTGCCGCGAAGCGCCAGCGAGGCAAAAGGTGGAGTCGAAGCCCTTGCCGAGCAGCGGAGCTGCTCGGAGGAAGCCGAGCCTCCCAGGGCGGCGAAGTGAACACACATTCGTCTACAATTGGCACAGCGAACAGGGAATCCTCCCAAGCTGGTAGCGCCCGCCGAGATCCGGTAAGTCAAACCGTGCCGGGCACCAGACAGAGAGGATCGACCCGTCGAGACCAACGAAGGCAGAATCGCGGAGCTGCGTCTGCGAGGGTTGCCTAGGGCAAGCGCCTCGCCTGGCAAAGCGGAACTCAGTCGAGTCCGCGCCAACCAGCAGGCACAGCGGCCTGGGGTAGGCCCTCGGCAATTCTCTGCGGACCTCCCGCAAAGGCCCGAAGCAAAGCGGAAGCCTCCGTCCTGCTCCTCAACCTCCCCAAGCTCCATTGCCTGGCGCCCGAGCCGAGTCAGAGGCTGGGTCTCCTCCGTAGAGGACCCGAACCCGACCCGGTGGACTGCCTAGCTACTAGGAACCACAGGAAGGGAAGAACAGACAGAGCGGCTCCGTCAGCGCCAGCCCGGCGTCGTGGACCCGGTCCCGAGGCGCTGGAGGCAGGCCAGGCAGAACTGGTGCCTCCGGCTCTCAAGGCGGGTGTGCGCCAGGACGGAATACCAGGAATACTCAGCGGTCCCTGCGCTAACTCGAGAGGGGACTGGGAGCACCTCCCTCTCCCGGAGCAGCCGGCGTCGGATCGAAGCCAGAGGCAGCGGATCTACAGGCGCCTCAAGGCTGAGGATCGAGCGAGCCAGCGATCCCACCCCGGACTCTCCGCCCCGTCCGGAGTGGGCGAGAACTCCTGCGGAGACCTCCAACCCGACTCGAGCGAAGGACTTCCGCGGAGTCCATATGCTGCTGAAACATAGAGTCCATTACTGACATGTCAAAACCACTTTCGAAGTGGTAGGAGAGGAAGGGCCTCGGGATTTTTTCTTTTTTGGCGATGCGTTTTGTTTTAGGCGGGGGACCTGCGTCAGGTCCCCTCCGCTCTCCGCATCTCCGCGATAAAACAAGCGTATCGACGCCCGCCTCTTCTGGGCCGGGGAAAAGGCCAGACAAATAGGGCAGGACTCAGCGTCGGTGGCCCGTCTTCTCAAGACAGGCAGCGCATAGCTCATGCCTGTCGGCCCGTGGAATTTCTCTCTGTCCACAGACCGAACAGGATGAAAAGGCCTGAAAGCAAACCGCCAAGCATGTAGCTAACAGCGGCCAGCAGCATATAAACCGTAGAAAACATTGAAAAATCGTGAAGGTTACCGCGGAGAAAGTAATAGTTGGTTTTAATCGCAATATTACGACCACATGGCCGCGCTAAACTTCCGCCATGGCAGAGCAACGTCGCGTAAACCACGGGAAAGTTAAGCGTATTTTGTATTAATACAAAGTCACAATTATGAAACAACCAACTGTAAAGCTTTACTGTTCCTTGTTTTAGGCAAATAAAGACCATACATACAGGTGGTGTCTCAGACATAGCTTTCTTAGTGGCTTTCAGCTGTCCGGCTCATGAAGTGCGTTCTATTTCTAAAACCGTCTGTTCCGCGGCGGTGACAGCAGAAGGAATGATGATCACGGGTCTAGGAGCCTACCCAGTTGAAACTGGCGCGCTAAGGGAGGTAACTCCGTGAGGTAGGGGCCGTATAATAAATAAAAGAGTTTATTTATTGTTCAATCTTTTATTCAAAAACATTGATACAACTGTCACAGGACATTTTTCAGCGGAAAATGCATAATATGTACCCCAAGGGCGATCTCTGAAAAAAGAATGTAAATAATCGAGTCTGGACCAGACAAGCCAGTGATCAACAGCATTAGCATCGATCTGCGCCAATTGGGGACCCGATGACATGTGTCAATCAGTCAGCCTAGCCTGACGCCCGATCCCGTTAATTAAGCTCTTCGACGACAAGCATAGTCACCTTTTGTGGCAAGCATGGGTTGCTGAAGACCTATTATACCCCGGATCTTCACGGGTCGATACTTGTGTTAGACTCTTTCAACTTTGGTGAAATCTATCAACATTCAAGCCAATCCATGTAAGATCTTGGTATGCCTAATGGAATTCAACTCTGCATCAGAATCACCTGAAACGAGTCCTAACTTGGTGGTCTGTGTCTTCTACAAGGCCAAGGCACTGATTCAACATAGCCACTGTGATTTGGTTGTGGGCACGAATGCTGATGTGGCTGAACATCTGTCTTATGCTCTTGATGAAAGCTAAAAACATGGATACTGATAAACATGGATCTTAAACTCACAACACTGCAGAATTATCCAAAATAGACTGCAAATCGTTAAATATCTTGTCACTGTACAATACATTCGAACCTCTCATCATGATCATGAATACCATCTCTCCATGCTATTAGTACAAATCCCCAGAACCCATTCCACGTCACAGATTAATTTCTGAAGTGATGTCATCACCTTGTTCACTACTATAACTATATTTCATTCAGAAATGTTTAGCATTATGTCATTTGAGTGATAAGACGAACACCTTCGCTAAACATCCAATGAGGGCCCAGAGGTTGTCTTACCTTTCTTTATAGTCACATCACCTATCTCCAGGAGCTGCAGGAAGGGACTGAATAGAGCTGGGTCAACACTCTTTGACCTCTCCTTCTGAGAGCTGCATCCGTCAGTCTTTCCTGCAACATACAGAAGTGAGGTGAGGTGAGGTGAAATTGGATTTAACATCGTGTACGACGTGCATATGACGACGTGCATGCGCGTGTATGTGAGAAATACATACAGAAGTGAGTGGAGTGAGTGAGTGGCTGAATTAGTGAGCAAGAGTGATTGTAAGCAGGTTTAATGTAGCTGTTAAGTGTATATCAGCTCATGGCCAAGGTAATGCAGATTGTTATGATACAACTGAATTGTATGGTGCTGACTGTGATACTCACAGCCATGCAAGGTTTGCAGAACATTTCAGGCCAATCACCGCTTGACCAAACCTATCTCTTTCTTACATGTATTGATGCAAAGTAAGCAAATATCACCCACATGTTCAAAGCTCATTAATTCAAGAATAGCATTAATCTGTTCTGACATGACAACCTCGCTTGTCTCACCTTGCAAGTCGTCACACACAGCTCGCACTTGATGCTAAACCTCTTGTACAGGGGGTCACAGACCGCTGAGTAGTCACCACTGAAACCAACATAACTACTGATATGATAACTGCCACATACACATGGAAAACTGTCAATCAGCAGAAACCAACTTCACTTTCAATGCAAATAGTGTAATCATGGCACTTTTCATAAACCAGCATTGAGTTTGGTGTGAGCCAGTTTGGTCCCATGCCCCCTTGGACAACATTTCATTTTTATCAAAGCATGTCAGCTTGATGTGGGAGCAAAACCCATAGTGATGTTTGCCACTTTGACGAAACCCCTGGGCATGGTGCTGACAAACTTAAAAACACAATCAGCCTTAGTATTGGTGCCAAGTTTTTTACACAATATTGTTAAAAAATTCAAACACTCCCAAACAATTCCATTACTAAACAAAGCTAAATAATTCATAATATTTCTTAAAAACAACCTCCTCAAATGGCTTCTTTTTGTGTTTTGCTTTACTTCATAAGACACAGTTGTTCTGAGATCACTCTTGAGGAAGGTACTGCAGCCGGTACACCAGTTCATGGTGTCTACATCCCACCACCACCTCATCACATGCACAATTATCAGTCATTTGTGTTACACCACATCCATCAGGGATGTGGCAAACTGTATAGAGACAGAGTTATACCAGCGCAATTGTGCATCCCGGAACGCACAATATGTAGAGGATAAACTCAGGAAAACGACATACTGATATATTATTATTCACTGTACCCACAACACATCTATGACTTTACTAAATGTTGGGGGTTGTTTCATTCAGAGCAGTTACGGGCATCATTTCATCCATCAGTCCAAATGACCAATGATTCATTCCAGGCTCTAAAGATATTATAGAAACTTTTCCAAACCTGCAGAGGTTTTCAATTCTTTGAAGAGAGTCGTCCTTGGGGTACATATTATGCATTTTCCGGCTGAAAAATGTCCTGTGACAGTTGTATCAATGTTTTTTGAATAAAAAGATTGTACAATAAATAAACTCTTTTATTTATTATACGGACCCTACCTCACGGAGTTACCTCCCTTAGCGCATGCGCACCAACTGGGTAGGCTCCTAGACCCGTATCATCATTCCTTCTGCTGAATTCTCATCAGTGAACAGAATTGCGGGGAGGTGGGTGGGCCCTACCCCTAGACGACTCTCTTCAAAGAATTGAAACCCTCTGCAGGTTTGGAAAATTCTTTCAGAAGATAGTCCTTAGAGTACCTATTATCACATAAACACAGACTCCCAAAGACCCGGAGGCCAGGGAGGAGGAATTCTGTCAAGCACACACAAAATATAGCGATTGTATCATGGAAAAAATTGAACAGAAGCGCCATAACACTCACCTGTCACTCGACCCAGTTTGGCTTCCTTGAGAGGCATTATGGGAGGGAACTGACGAGGGAGGATTTGTGCTCAAAAGAGCGACCTCCTAGCATAATGAGACATTGCATGCGTCTGAATGTCAGTGAAATCCGACCCACTAAGTGGCTTCTTAGAAAGAGCACGGTAGGGGAAAACAAAAATACCACTCACTAACGATAATCGTAACTCCTTAGAGGAATCGAGAAGGAAATTTTAGGTTCTCTGATTAGCTTTCGTAGCAGACATGTCAATAATGGAATCATTGTACAGTAAGCGTCAACACAAACCAATAAGCCAAGACTCACTTGGTCGGGGTGGCAGGACACTGTCCACTGGAAAACGATACGACCAAAGCTCCATACGATTAGCGTGAATGTATCGAGCTGATAATGGCGTATAAAGTGCTTGGCGAAGCCAAATAAGCGGAGCAGATCTCTTCAATGGGAGTGCGATGCAAAAGTTTTGATGCGATACTGCCCTGACCGAGTGAACCTTAACCCTCAGGGGAGGCTTGCCCTTAGCCTGATAAAGCGGCACAAATACGATATACTGGCCAGCCAGCACAAAGTTTGCTTGCACCGCTGGCGAACCAGCCTTCCATACGGGTAACAACAGAACAGCTGGGTACCCGTCACGGATCCCTGCGTTCGTTTGATATAGACTTTGAAGCGTCTTCACCGGATCCAGCGGGTGCTGCGTAGGAGTGGTCCCCGATGTGGAAGGCTGGGTAAGTAAGGAAGTTCGATAGGAGCTGTCACATAGGAAGCGTGATCGACCGACCGGTCGTTAAAGTATCTGGGGGTGAATGCTGACCACGATCCGTGTGAAACACAGTCAAGCGCGGGTCCGGACGACATATGCATGTATATCGCCGACTCTTGACCAGATGTTACCGCCACCAAAACACAGCTTTCAGGTCCAGCAACTTCCAATGGATATAGCGATAGGTGCAGAAAGTGGGACGGACAGCCAATGTAAACGATCGACAAATCCCAAGGTGGACTGGTTCGCCTGAGAGCAGGTCGAATCCGTTCGCGCTTCCAGCTAAGCGCTGTGCGAGAGAGGTGCTGCCCCAGAAGAGCACCATCGACAGGGGGTAATGAAAAGTGGAAATAAGCGGTGGAAGTAGTACGAATGAATGGTCGGGGTTTCAGGCCTTCTTCTAAGCGAGCTTGCAAAAACTCCAATACTGGGACTAAATCTGCTTGAAAAGGATCTGCAATGCCCCTATCACCTGCACCAGCGCGCATAAGCATGGACCACCTATCCTCATACTGAGCGTTTGCCGAATCCGCCTCCGAAGCCAGAATTGTGTCTCTGCAACTGCGGGAATTCCCAGCGTGCCTCGAGGCTGCAGACCTGACAGAGGCCAAGCCCACCCACTGAATCCGTGGATTTGGGTGGAAGCTCCGTTCTGAGTGAGAATGTCCGGTCGCAAAAGGTAATAGAACAGGAGGCTGAGCCAGAAACCTGAGAATTACCGGAAACCAGCTCTGTGACGGCAAAGCGGTGCCAGTAGCACAAGTAGCGAGCTGGCTGGGTGGACAGCTGTGAAAGGACACGAGGGAATGAGTGAGTAGCGGCGGGCAGCCAGAGCACTGGTGCCGTCAATCTAACAGGAAGCGTCGGCAGCCAGCGCCCTCTGGTCCGGTATCCGAGAGCAGAACACGGTTGTCTGATCGTCCGCCCGGACGCAAACAGATCCCACCTCGAACGACCCGTACAACTGCTGGATTACTGTGAATATCTGCCTGTCGAGCATCCACTCGCGTCGCGGGGCCAGGATCCGCGAGCGCATCTGCTGCGCCGTTCTCCAGCCCCGGAGATGGGGGCGTACCTGGCTGATCGTACTGAAACCGCTTCCAGAGAGAAAGTCCCGGCTTCGAGGGCGCTGGGTTGCACCGTGCCTCCTGCTTCAGGATGTCACGACATGGCCGTCTGGTTGTCTAACTGTGAAGGCGGACTACCTGACTACCGGACATGCTCTCTGAAGCGCTCGAATACCAACGCGACAGCTCTCGAAACTCCAGCACGTTGATGTGAAGGTGAGCGCCGGCTTGGACCAGAAGTCCGGAAGCCGACAGACTGCCAGAACGCTTCCAGCCCGTGAGGGCAGCATCTGTCTGAACTGTGAGAGCTGGCATTCCGGGATTTCCAAGGGAACCCTGGTGAGATTTCGACATTTGTCACCACTGAAGGTGAAGTGTGTCAACCACTTCGGGACTGTGAGACTGCTCCCAGATCCTCGTGTGAGTCCACAGCCGAAGCTTGTAAAGCTTCGCTTATGGGACGCATCATCAACGGCGCCCGCCACTACAGAGATTACGCCGCCGCGGCATATGGTTCCAGTAGCCGGAGCTGGTGCTGGTGCCTGGGGCCTGGGCCGAGAGAATGAAGATACCATCTCGAACTCTGGTGACCGCCTGCGGCTCGGCTAAAACGAGATCCTTGTTACGTTTAGAATCAGCGCTCCAAAAAACCAAGTCCTGGGTGGGTACCAGGTCGGATTTCTTGAGGAGTTGATGATCCACCCCAGTCGAGTTAGAATGTCTATCACTGTGTGAGTAGCATCTTGACTTCGCTAGCTGTGTTAGATACTCGAGGCAACCAGTCGATCTAGGTAAGGGTAACAAACGCCTTCCTTGCGAAGCGAAACTAGTGGGGTAGCTGGGACTAACATGAATTGGTGAACACCCTTGGGGCAGTCGATTATGCGAAGAACAATTCCTGAATGGTAATGTATCCCGTCGTAAAGAGGACCGGAGGTACCGCTTGAAACGAGGATGTATGGTGTACATGAGATACGCATCCTTTGGGCCTTCCATTGGCGTGGAAGCCAATGTCGCCGGGCTGAACAGATGATAGGATCACCGGCAGTGAAGGTCCATCTTGAAAGGATGGTTGCCGAGCATGTGATTCAACTACTCGAGGTTGAGAATCGGGCCGGAACCATGCGTCTTTCTTGAAAGGACCCGAATACGTGGAAGTAAAATCCCGCCTGTTTCACTCTCCCGGTGGAATAAACCGATTAACGGACTTGTCCAGCAGAGCCTGAACGATACGGCGCAATATATCCGCCCTGGCCTGGCATGGCCGGCGCAGATGCGTCATATGCCGGTGAAGGCGGTTCGGCTACAGTGGCTATGACCCGTAGCACAGCGTTATTGGTGGCGCCTCCCATTCCGGCAGGAATAGAGAGAAAGCGGCCTCCGGATATAGGGGTAGGAAGCGTCGTGGACCCTAATGGCGGGAAGCAGCTGATTACTGACACGGCTGGCGCCCTATTGGGCCAGGAGGCCAGACCTCTCCAGCGCTTGCCGAAAGCTGAGAACTAAATCCGAGACTTCTCATGCCCCTTGAGGACACCCTCCTCCTTCTACCTATTTCATGGCAGCCAACCAGCAGGCCTTCCGGAATTAACCAGGCTGCGCCCGTGAAGGTACGCTGGCGCAGAACCTGCCAGGTGCTCCAAGCAGGCTTCCTTGATCGCGGAAGGTAGCTGCGGCATGACCCCTCTACGTACTATTCGCCATGCCGGGAAGAGATTTTATCTCCCGAGCCAGAAGGAAACCAACAAAGTCTATAATAACACCTTACGATACTAAATGTCAGCCGTACATCGCGCATCCCAGCTACGCATGCGTGGCCGCCGCTTGGAGCCGCCAAAATTCGCGCGCGCGA